ATGAATTATTGGAACAAGCTGAGGTGAGGTCTACTTCTTTTCGTCTTTCGTAACATAATATTGCCTTTATATAAAAAAAAAAACTCTAACTCCGCCTAATTATTCATAATCAGGAATTTAAAGAAACTGCTAAAGAATTCTGTGAAGATTTTTACAAAACTGCACCTTGCACTTCGGATATTAGTGGCAAAGATGCTTTAGCACAATTGAAAGCTTTTAGAGAACAGTTAAATGCACTCAGAGCGCAGGAACAACAGATAAGAGATGGCCTTGCAGTATTTAATTTAACGTAATTGAATAAAATTAGTTTAGTTAGTTTGTATAATAATATACAATAATTTCACGTGCAAAAGTTTTAGTACGTTTTTGTTTATAAAGGACACCAGTGAATCTGGACCTCCAAAAAATGGAGAAAGAGTTGGAGAAATTGGAAGAAGTTTGGGGCTTGGTCTTCCAATGGGAGGAGTCATGGGACAAATATAGAACACAAACATTTTGGGAGATGGAAACTGAAGAGATGGAAGAAAATGTTATGTTCTTATTTAGGTAATAAAAATATTGCTTAATATTACGTTTAATTTGAGATATGTAATTAAGAATATATTTGTTTTTCATTTAAATATTACAGAAATTTTAATCGCCTCTCACGTCAGCTAAAAGATAAAGGATGGGATATTATAGACACTACTCGAGTTAAAGTTGATGCATTTAGAAGGACACTACCCTTAATAGGTGATTTAAAAAACCCTTGCATGAGAGAAAGACACTGGGATAGAATAAAGACACTTATGGGCGTGTAAGTTAAAAATGTACTGGATTATTTGTTTTTCGTTATATTTAATTTCTTAATGATCAGATGGCTGTTTTTATTCAGAATAAACTTCACAACATTAACTGTTATCTTTTATTTCAATTACCGTGTCCACTATAATATGTCCTTCATTTTCCTTATTTCAATTTTAAATGCAAAATGGACGTTATTGAATGAAAATTAAAAAAAATTAAACTTACAGCGAGTTTGATCAAACTTCAGAAGATTTTAAATTGGAATTGATTATGCGCTTAAATTTCCAAGCTTATGCTGAAGATATAGCAGAAATTTCTAATGCAGCGACTATGGAATTAAATATTGAAAATGGTCTTAAGGCAATTCGTGAAGTATGGAAAAATACAACATACGAAATGCAACATCACCGGGGTGATATTTATAGGATTAAAAATGTTGACGAGGTGACGCAGGTTAGTTTGCCTTGCATTATTAACAGATGTCAGGAGCAGGACCAATGGGTTAACGTGCTTTCCGAGGGAGTAAAACACCGCCTACTTCCTGACCCCGGGTTGATACTGAGATTTTCTTGACAGAAAAATCCAAAAACTTTATCTAGCCCAATGCGGGGCTCGAAACTGGGATCTTTTGATTGTAGTCGCACTTAACTAAACAGGGCGGTCACTGCTTTAACATGGTTAAATACTAAAACGCGATTTACTAAGCCACATAAAAGGTTTCGATGCGCATTAATTTCATTTATGTTTCAAGCAATGATATTTCTTTTTTTTTAGTTTTTAGAAGACCATCAAGTACAACTATCTTCCATGAAATCAACAAAGTACGTTGAGCCGTTTATTAAAGAAGTTGATCATTGGGAAAAGTCGTTGGGATATGTAGCAGAGTGCATAGAGGTTTACAGTTCAATCTTAAACTAATAAATACATTGGCGATTACCTGAAATTAAATTTAAGCATTTGTTTTGTTAGATTTCATTACAAGTACAACGACGCTATCTGTACCTGGAAAATATATTTAGTGGTGAAGACATTAGAAAACAATTGCCAAATGAAGTTGTTATTTTTGAAGAATTAACATCTGATTGGACAGATATAACAAAAAAGTAAGTTAGGATTGGTATATAATATGAATAGCGAGAAACTGTCAATGATGAATCCAAACTTCAATTAACTTTCACCACATTTTGTCCCGTGGATGACGTCAAAGATGCGAGACGTCTGTTATTGCGTTCCTCAATTCGCCTACTAAGCATAACGATTAAGGCCTCCCTTTAACGAAAGAGACTCATGGCCAGCAGTGTACTGTTACGGGCCGATGAAGAATCCAAATTTCAGAGTACATCATTATTCTTTTGAGAGTCTACTGCTGGGTATTGGCCTTACCATGAAAGAATCAGCTGTGCTTTTATTTTCCCGTACTCATAATGCTGTGCAAACGGGTTTATGAACGCAAAATTGACATTTTGGCAATTTTAATGTCCTAGGATACTGCTCAGTGCTTTGTTTGCACTTGTGTAACATTTGGGTTTTGCGTTTGAACTGATTTTCCACCATCAGTAACCTATCAACTCTCTCTACTCATTGAATAATTGTCTTGAATATTTCATCTTATAATTAGAGCAATCAATTGTCTATTTGTCAATATAGTCTCAATGTATTATCATAAAAATTTGAAAAATATCAATTCTATATATAATGTACATAAATCACTGACAAATGCCAAATTGATATTGTATTCCATTCGCAATTTCACTTGGTTTCTTAAACAAAAAAAAACTATAAGTAGCCATGCTTCAACCAAGCTTCGTTTATCGATCAGTAGTGCTTACCGCACTAGTCAGGTATTTGGAAAAAATGGCCTTTTTCGTATATTTAAAACGTTTAAAAACTTTTTATAGGAGTAGGTTTTTTATTTGAAAATTATATTATTAGTTATATTTTGTTTTTATTTCGACAGTATGTATGCTGGAAAGAATGCGGTAGAAGCGTGCATTTATAAGCCTGCTCCATATTTGTACAATAAACTTAACGCTATGGTGGACAATTTAGATGGCATATTACGAGCATTAGAAAAATATCTTGAAACTAAAAGACAGATATTTCCACGTTTTTACTTTATTTCTAACGATGACCTCTTAGAGATTCTTGGTAATTCGAAAAAACCGCAGTTGATACAAATACATCTCAAAAAATTATTTGACAACGTGAACAAGATTAAGATTGATAAGGTAAATATATATTTTTTTAATTTTATTAACACATTACGTAAAGTTCCAAGTACTGTTTACAATTAGGGTTAATCTCTATTGCTCATTGAATATTATGAGCACTGCGCAGCCATTGTAAACAGCAAAACGCGTTTCCCAGCAAAATTTTTTAATTTATTTACGGATTGAAAGTTTTTATTAAAAAAATTCTAAAATTCTTAATACTCCATTACACAAGCGGGGCACAAGCGTGCCCTAGGTATATATTTTTGCCTATTATTACGTAAATAAAACAAATAGAATCTTGTTGCCTTCAATAGCTATTGTTAGTGTCCTTCAGTGTTCGGCAGTGACGTGTTAACGGTGCTGGTTAGCGAATGTCTCTTTTATAAAATCTTAATTGATCTTGGGGCAAGCCAGTGCTCCACGCGTGTAATAACGTAACTACTTGACGTGAGACTAAACTAATTTTTTTTCTATTTTCTTTAATAATAATAGAATTTGGGGAAAATATTGGGAAAGAACTATGACTTTCGGATTTTATAACTGCGAGAAAGGCAATACCCATCTATTCATCAAAATATCGTAGGGAAGATGTCAGAAGTCTGTGTGTAATTATTAAAAATATAGCATTTGTTCAATGTTATAAAAATAGTTAATGATCTTTAAAGGTCTTCAAATGATAACGTAAATCTCAAATTTGTATTCTTCTGTTGATTTCTGATAGCATTTACTTAAGTAAAGGGCTATTTCTTGTTTCTAATATAAACATCAATAAAGACTAATTATATAAAATTAATTTTTGTTTGTTCGTATTTTATGCGCTGCCATTATCGTTAATTAGATTGCCATAAAATTTTGTCAGCTTATTGCTTGCACTTTCGTGATGGTTATAGGCATAGTACAATTAACTTACAAAAGGTATTGCGCATATCGTACCGACAAGTTTATTTAAAAGTTCTGTATCATTAAATTTCAATGAATGTATTATTATCATTCCTCATTAAACAATATAACTCTTTCAAATTTAAAACGATATTTCCACAATTATTTCTTCTGCTAAAGCAGTGCGCTGAGTACCAGTTAGTTTTATATAAAAATGTATTTGTTTTAATTCTGCTCCAATGTCAACAAAAACTTCAATTTATTATGGGCCAAATTAGTGCCCCGCGCGTGTAATTACGTAATGTTTTATTGTACGTGTAGCGGAGTGTTAAAGGTTAAGACTTGATGTTTCTATTAGTCCTAGGTCTGGAAGTTTTCGATGTTAAATTTATATATATTTAAAACGCCTTTACGATACATAAAATTATTTTTAAATTAAAAGTAAATGAATAGTTAGTATTGGAAATTTTTTCGACGCATTCAAGTCAATGTCACTGTCAATGTCGCAGTGCCAGCTGCCAGCTGCTAACTGTCAGTGGAGAGTTTTGGCGGGAACTTGACCGGCGGCGGTTTGCTGCTTCTGTATTATAGTTTAAATAATAGTTTGAAGTGAATTTTGATATGTAAAAGTGGTACGATTTTATGTATTAACTGTCTATGCATGTGAACTATTAGTGGAAACGGTGAAACGAGTGCTCTGATGGTAATGGATTCTCAAGATAAGCTGTTTGTTTGCATAGGCGCAAATATATAGATACCATCGCCAACTGTCACCTGTCTGCTGGCTCAAGTTGTCGTCAAAATCTCCCAAATGCTGCACAATGTGACGTATCAACATATTGTGAAGTAGTGACCTATGAATTTTTATATATTCAAAATAAAAAAGACCAGGCTGTATGGCTTAGTTCCTTTGCCTGCTCTCTCGAGCGAATAATAAAAACAACAACAACAACAACTAACTGTCAGTGTCAGAGCCGGCAGTGTCAACACAGAGTACTTTTAAGTGTCAATAACACGTGTTTGTAGTAAATATCAAGTGTAATGTAAAAACTATTTACGATAAAAACACAAGAGTATTTATAGAAAAGTTTGTATCGAAACCAATAATCAATAATGAAAATAATGTTAAATGAAGAGGATATCGAAAAATGTCATTTTGTACCTTTGAGTACTATGGTAAGTAAAAAAATTTTATTTATTTACTTCCTAATTCTAAAAAAGAACATGCAGTTCATGCTGTTTCTTATAGCCCCTTTACCAATTACAACTAATATTCTGTGGGTTATAGCCTAATACACAAAATAATGCTTGCATTTTGCTACATATAATAAAGAAACTAAATTACAATGTCCATTTTGCGTTCTTAATTATAATGTTTGATTAAATTTAGAATATCTAAATAACATTATTTAGTTATGTTTTACGTTGTAGAGCCACGCTGCAGCGATATTGTGGTAACAGCGCAAATGTGTCACCTTGAAAAGGGAAGGACCACACTCAAAAAACCAGCATAAATCCCAGCTTAATGCTGCTGTATTCCTATGTCGAGTGTTAAGAACCAGAGACCATTTTTACTAGAAACAACATCTTAGTCATCAGAGGAGAAAACACATCTGCATTTGGATTCTTACACAAATATAGATGTAGAAGTCTATGGGCTAAATGTTCACCACTAGATAAAATGTAATTTTAAACATAATTAAAAAATATTAATGATAACTCTTTTATATTTCTGTCTGACTAGGCTATGCACTTATAGAAAATTGAGATCAATGGAAAAAATGAAATGGTGGTTCCTTGAGACAATGGAACCCTAAAATACGATTACAAACACATTTATCCAAGTAATAACCTCATTTTCATTGATTCATTTATTACAGCTTATCCAAAGACTACTACTTTTTGGGGTTGGCAAGTGCAACTTTCTATTAACTTGAGCTGTTAATAAAAAACTGCAGTTTCCAACATATCAAGAATATGTTGTTTACCCATCTTCTATTTGAGTTTCCCTCTGTTACCTCCAACTCTCAAGATGATCTTTGGTAGTGCATTTTCTTGCAACACCCTAATACTGCAATATATAAATATTATTTAATTCATCCTTACAGCCTTTCACAAGTCCACTGCTGAACATAGGCCTCCCCCAAGTTATGCCACAAAGTATGGTCCTGAGCCACCTGCATCCATCGAATTCCTGCATGTCTTACCAGGTTGTCACTTCATCTAGTGGGGGGGGGGTCACCCTACATTTTCCTTACCGGTATGAGGCTGCCACTCGAGAACCTTTTTTCCCCATCGGTTGTCAGTTGTTTGAGATATATGGTCGGCCCATTGCTGTTCCAGCTTACTAATCCATTGGGCTATGTTGGTCACTCTGGTTCTACTGCAGATATCCTCGTTTCTAAGTTTATCATGCAAAGAAACTCCAAGCATAGTCCTCTACATAGCTCACTGAGCGACCTTGAGTGTCCTCATACGGCCAGCAGTGCAGAAATTTATTAAAGTTTAAATAAAATTTTAGTATATAATATCTTTTTGTTCAATTAAAAATAAAACTTAGCACATACTTGGCATTGCTTATACATTTTAATATAAAAAGAATCATATTTACTGTTGCATGATATGTATACAATTTTAATTATTTATAAAATTAATTAGATTAATATGTAAAAATAAAAAAAGATGATTTCTGTATGCAAAATTTTCATATAATTTAAGATTATATATTTGCAGCAAAAAGTGATTAAATCACTAGAAAACTCTAATCCGGAAGCAGACAGAAGGTGCAAACGTAATCTCCTACAATTGCAGCTAGAGGGCAGCACTTCTGAAAATGATTTGAGACAAAAGAAATGGAGGCACAAATTTCATCTTGCTCTAAGCCATGCCATTTACTCTCACAATTGGGACAAACTTTTATATCTCCTAAAGAAATCTCCAATCTGGGAACATCAGTCAAAGAGGTTGGATGAGCTGCCTATTTATATTAGAGTAAGTGAGATTTAAATTTTTTTAGCTTTTAAATAACAGCTTACCTCTTTTCATTATCAAAAATTAGGGGCAACCTGTACTCAGAATTGTTACTTACATTATTATTACATTTTTACACTTGCCATATGAGGGTATAAATACATATACTACCTTATTTTGTTCCATGAGTGGTATGAGAAGTGTTATCGGAACTCAGTTTAAGTACCTAAATTGGCGACAGGGAGTGAACCAACTTTGTGTTACTCTTACTAACATTGCATTAGGTCTATAAATGTCACAAATTTTTTTCACAGCACTCTGATAAAAAAATTGCATAAACTACTATGCAAGTCGCTCATATCTAGCAGTTGACAGTTAACTGGCTGTTGTAAGAGTGAAAGAAAAAAAGGGAGAAGTACTCAATATTTTAACATGGTAGAGCCATACTGCAGCTTTATAATAGTTGCAGCACCAATGGGTCAACTCGTGGAAGAACCATGCTTTTGCAGAATACAAGCATAAAATAGCAGCTTAATGTTGCTGTGTTTTATACAGTGAGTGTAGAGAAACCGACATCCCCTTTTACTGATAACTAGCTAACAAGTTGTTCTATCGTAGTCCTCAGAGGTGATAATACATCTACACTTATACTCTATATGTAAGATAAACAGGCGGCCACATTATCCATTTACCATCAGGTGGACAGAAAAAAATTCAGATCACTAAAGCCAAGGTTTTAAAGATTTCTCATGTTGAAGTTTCTATTGTTACATGAGAATAATTCTTTCGTAATCTTTTTTCCAGGCCCTTACTATTCTACTGATGTATCATCCCAGTGCCAAAGCGCAGTCCCTGTTAAGTGACTACTTCCACATGGTCCTCTCCTGCCGGTCAGACGAAGATAAAAAAGCAGTTTTTAAAGTTCTACTGTCTTTGACCGAAAAGATTTATGGAAGGAGTAACTAATATGTTATTAACTAATATTGTACAAACAAGGATTCATATTTTCCAGAATGTTGAGATGTATTTGCAGGCAGAGTCATAACTAGAATTTTTCAGTGTAGGTCTGTTTGGAAACCTAACATCCTCCTCCCTGTTCAACATTATTAAAACTAATTTAAAGAGATCATTTATTTTAAGGACTATTTAATATTTGACCACATAGATTATTAATTTTTAATAGTGTTGGCATTTTTAGCCAGATTAATTGCTTAATACATGTCTACATAGATTATTAATTTTTAATAGTGTTGGCTTGGTTAGCCAAATTAAATCTTTAATATTTGCCTACATGGTTTATTAATTTTAATACTGTTGGCTTTGTTACTCAAATATTTTTTTTTATATTTTCCCACATCTATACAAATAAATAATATTGAAGTGTCTGTTTGTAATGTCAAAATAACAGCTTTTTACTAATTGCATATAAAAGTATATACAGTACCTATAACAGACAGACAATTTTTAAAATTTTTGTCTGTCTGTCTGTTTGTTCCGGCTAATCTCCGAAACGGCTGGACCGATTTTGACGGGATTGGTAAATAGCTCATGTTATAAGGAGTAACTTAGGCTACTTATATTTATGAAAAATAATTAGGGTTCTGCGCAATAAAACTAAAACCCCTAAATTACACGCGGGTGAAGTCGCGAGGAACAGCTAGTAGATTATAATTTTTTAATAGTGTTGGCTTTGTTAACCAAATTAATTATTTAATATTTGGCCACATAGATTATTAATTTTAATAGTGTTGGCTTTGTTAGCCATATTAATTGTAATGAATGAATAAACACATCGTTTTGTCATGTGAAATACATTATTAGCTATTTAAAGAGTTAAAACGAGGAGGTTGTAATTTTGAGCGAGAAATACGTGAAATATTTTATAATTAAAAAAACATTTTTTTTATTCAGGTAAATATGTTTAGGACTGATTTGGTATAGTTCGATAAGCATCGTTATATAGTATACTGGTTTTATTATAAAAACATTAGTGTATTAAATAAAGTATTTTTTTTAATAACACACTTTTATTAATACCCTTAACTTTAATTCAGGACTTCTTTTGTGCCTTGTTTACATTTTTAAATATTACTCGTGCATCTGATTTATAATTTTGCCTTGATTTAATATAAATTGAATACAATTTACATGAGCTATTCTAACACTCTTTCTCTTTTCCCTAAAGGGTCGGTACACTGACCTCTATATATGGACTGGCTATACACCATGACATAATGAGGCGATTTGATTTTCGCCATTTTGGCGCTGACAGCAGAAGTGAACGTCCAAGGAACTAATTATAGAGATAAGACAGTGTGAAAAAACATATCGATAAAAATTCTATACCCAGGCTTACCCGTAAAGTCCATTCTATCTATGAATCATATTAATATAATGCTATACAATAAATAAATGTATCAATTAATACCTAGGCCTTAGACGCACGCTTTTTACCTCATATAAAAACAAGATCGATGCCGCGTTGGTCTATCTACGTTTTTATTCGTAACTACAGTACGGCTTTTGTTCCGGGTTTCAAATGAGGAAATGCCTACGCATATTCGCTTTGCGGGGGCTAAAACGGATTATGTTGTATTAATAAAACCCCATGGTATTCCACCTTCGCCGCATATTGGCAGGGCCATGGAAACGCTATCGACCATATCCGCGGCCCCACCAGCGCCAGCCACCCAATGGCAGCCCATCCTTAGGTGAGGATTTTCCTCCCCCTTTTCTTCTCAGATAAGGCACATAAGGAACACAAGGCACACTGCCCTTTGCGGCCTCCAACTCCACCTGCACAACAGACCCCTAGCACCAAGTGGTGTAGCCCCGCCAAAGTTGCGGAGGATAGTCGAGTGGCACATCACTGCAGCGATATAGGGAGAGGACACTCCTCTAGCCGCAGCTCACTAACACATATCCAAGGGCTCGATAAGCATACTCAGAGTGGCTACCTTGGGCCAGCCCTTCACTTCGGGCCAGCCAATTGAGTCGACCTACGTTTACCATAGGTTACTAAGCCACGGCTACTAACCCACCCCCCTGTCAAGACAAGGCGGGAACCCGTTTAGGGAGGAGCTTTTTTTCTTCACCTTAACTCGCTTACTAAGGACATTAATAATTTTGGAGTTCCATTATAAATTTATTCCCGTGATATAATAAATTGGTCATATTTAAACGGATTTGAGATTTTTGATTGAGAGGTGTAAGACAGGGTGACGTCATATCCCCGAAACTCTTTACCGCTGCATTGGAAGATGTTTTCTAGCTTCTGGACTGGAAAGGATACGGTATCAACATCAATGGCGAGTACGTCACTCACCTTCGATTTGCCGACGATATAGTCCTTATGGCAGAATCGCTGGAGGACCTAAGCACTATGCTCAATGACCTCAATAGTGTTTCCCAACGGATAGGTCTTAAGATGAACATGGACAAAACAAAGATCATGTTTAATGTCCATGTCACACATATGCCGGTAGTTGTTGGGAACACTAAGCTCGAAGTTGTTGACGAGTATGTTTACCTGGGACAAATAGTCCGACTAGGTAAGTCCAACTTCGACCGAGAGGTCAATCGACGGATTCAACTCGGTTGGGCAGCGTTCGGGAAATTACGGCACATCTTCTCGTCAGGTATACCTCAAAACTTGAAAACGAGACTGTACACCCAGTGCGTATTGCCAGTGATGACATACGGAACTGAGACGTGGTCCTTCACTGCTGGCCGGATGAGGAAGCTCAAGGTCGCTCAGCGAGCTATGGAGAGGGCTATGCTCGGAGTTTCTCTGCGTGATAAACTCAGAAATGAGGATATCCGCAGTAGAACTGGAGTGACCGACATAGCCCAACGGATTAGTAAGCTGAAGTGGCAATGGGCCGGCCATATGGCCGGCCCATTGCCACTCGAAGAACCGACAACCGATGGGGAAGAAAGGTTCTCGAGTGGCAGCCTCGTACCGGCAGGCGAAGTGTAGGGCGTCCCCCCACTAGATGGAGTGACGACCTGGTAAGATATGCAGGAAGTCGATGGATGCAGGTGGCTCAGGACCGTGCTTTGTGGCATTCTTTGGGGGAGGCCTATGTTCAGCAGTGGACTTGTGAAGGGCTGTAATGATGATGAAACGGATTTAACAAATTTACGTCTTGTATACACAAAACTTTCATCGGGCGACCTTTCTACACTTGGCCATACCCTTGAGTCTGGGGGTAAATAAGGAGAGAAGAAATAAAAAAGAATTCAAATTAATAATCTAATACTTTTATACTTACTGGTATTACTAGAAAATATTGTGGGTGTACTGCACTTTTTCAAAGTGCTGCGTTTCTAATGTCTAATAAAACAGTCGTCTGTGAAGTGTTTAGAACAAAGATAATCATTTTGTTTCGGACGCCAATTCGCAATTTTTATGCTTTTTAGACATAATTTTAGTCTAGGTTTAGTTGGTAACCTGTTAATTAATAAAAATTTGATAATTATCTGTTGTCGGCGACTTTGGTTGTTAACAGATACGGGTAGAAAAGAACATCAATAAATATTATTGACAAGGAACTCTACAACCCTATTGAATTTTATTGTTTATAAAAACTCTGTAATATAAAGCCAAACATGTTGGTAATTACGATATTAAGATTAGTAACAAATTTTTAAGTGGGTAGCTATATTATTAAATAGTTTTAATTTGTTTAATATTAGCTGTAAATTAACTTACTTGTGGAATGTTATCCCACTTTCCTTTTGGTAACGAGTTTTATATATTAAGCACACTGACTATTACTAAAAATAATTCTTATTATGTTACTAAAACCAAACATATATGATGGCTCCGTGGCGCAGTGGCTTAGCAATGAGTTATTGCGCTGGGGGCTGCGGGTTCGAATCCCGCACGGAACAGATATTTGTATGGCCTACAAATAATTGTTCCGGGTCTGGATGTTTGTCCTCGCGCAATTTATGTTTGTAAACAGCCTCCACGACACAGGAGAAAATCCTAGTGTGAGGGTAACGTTTTTCAAAAAAAAATATAAAAAGCATAATCAAACCACATAAAATACTTTCATTTTTTTAGTTTAAAAGTTCAAAATACAGAGAAACGATTTAAATAACACAACAGACTTTGGCATATTATGTAAATTTTAGTTCCCGGTACGGACAACGAGGGCGCTTCAAATCGGTGGAAGCATTTTGTATGGCATAGCCAGTCCAGCCCGCAAGGGCCGACGCCTGCCGGGGCTGCGGGCTGTTCGAAAGAGATACCGCGGCTCCGGAACGTAAGGGCACTGAAGGAACACGGATGGTTTTTAGTCAGTAAAAGTCTGACACTCCCTTCCGCTCCACCCAGAGCGAAAGGCGTCATTTGATGATTTTCCATCCGCAAAAAAAAAAGCCAGTCCAGCGTACTTGTATATATAGAGGTCAGTGGGTTGGTAAAATTAAAAATTGTTTATAATTTGCCATGTAATTTTTTTATTTACTCATTTGTTTGTTTTGTGATTATATAGGCTTGCCACCTATCACTTCTTTCACAATTTTCCATCTAAACCCCTTTTTTGGCTTAACGTTGTCCGAGCTTGCTGCTCCATGGACTCTGCCTATCCACTTTTGGCTAACAAGCGTGACGCTATGTTTGTATGTATGCCTAACGTTCACGGTATTATATGGAAGGGGTTAATATGCTTTCGATAACCTTAGAAGTTGACATCACTTGTTTCCCAAATTCCAGAATGCTATCGGCCTTCCAGTAGCCAAGGCCATGATATCAGAGGACGGTGAGGTCATCGAATGGAAACATAATTTAGTGCTCGATGGACCAGCTGAAGTTTGGCTTCTCGCTCTTGAGCACACAATGAGGGTTGTTTTAAGAGAGGTGAGTAATTTTTTACAAATACCCTTTCTTTTATAAGATAGGGTGACAAACGAGCACACAGTCCACCTGATGGTAAGTGGTTGCTGTAGCCGATAAACATCTACATCTATCCTCAATAACTACTCAAGATGCAGATGCGTTGTCACCCGTGAGGAAGATGGAATGCCTCTTTGCCAGTAAAAAGGGTATCCGGTTCTCTACACTCACCATACGAAACACAGGAGCATCAAGCTGCTATTTTACACTGGTATTCTGTGAGAGCGTGGTCCTTCCCCGGTCGAGCCGACCCATTCGTACTACAACTACACTACTAATATAGCTACAGCATGGCTCTACCACGTATACGTGGTATATATAAACCTGGTTTATATATAAACCCTCCTAAAGTTACGGTAGCTATTTGTGATAGGTGAATTTACCCAACCGTAGAGTACTCTATAGTTTCACCTATCATCTATCTAAGCTATGCTTATTTGTAAATAAGCGTCCGGGGGGATTCCCCCATATATTGCCTCATAAGGGGCATATTTACCAATGTTTTGGAGCCGACCAATTTATGCTACAACCACAATATAGTTGCAGCATGATTATACCACGTAAAATTGGTTGCGGACATCCTTGAGCCACTTATCATATTATATATCATATTAATCACCATCGGGTGGACTGTTGGTTCGCATGTCACTTCAGTTTTATAGAAAATCGCTAAGGGTTATTCCATCAAAGGCAGAATAACCATCTTTGATTCTACCACAATTTATTAGATTATAATAGAATAGAATGGAATAATTTTTATTCAATATAAAGTATTGTTTTACATTTACTACTGGTTCGCAAATACCTCTGTCTTGGGAAGAACCAACAAGGAACCCAGCGACATTTTTTTAAAAGCACAATTTACAATATACTATTTTATACAATTGTTAAGAAAACATTTAGAAACAGCAATGTAGCAACCACCTCATTCCCAGGGGTTATTATCAGTCATGTAAGTACTCTTTAGTAGTACGAGTATAATAACCCTTACTAGACACTTTTTGCATAATCAATATTTTAAACCTTTTGATCGATAAGGTCTGCATATTTTCTGGGACTATATTGTAATAGCGTATACATTGCCCCATGAAGGAATTACTAAATCTTTGGAGTCGAGTAACTGGTATAATTAACTTGCGCTTCTTTCTAGTATTTACAGAATGTACATAACTATTTTTAATAAAACTATTTAATACATAAGCCTAGACAGAACACAGCTGAATTGGCATACTTAATTTCGTCGTTGAGTGTAAATCTTATAGAATCAGACAGAAGGCGGGAAAACGTTTCACTAATTTTCGAAAAAGTGTAACGAGTGAACTGCGAATGAAACGTAGCGTAACAACTCAGCTCGTACGATATAACTGCTAGGTTAACCGCTACCAATTACGACATTAGCAAATACTAGGCCCTACAGTAAACGGCTTCTAGGATTCACTGCCTTTAAACTGTCAGCTGAACTAAACTGAACGGTGTGTGTAGAGAGCAGAATACTCTTTTTATTCTTCGTATTCATTTTAGTCCCTAGGGGTTGCAACGCATCGACATTTTGATTCTTTATCGAGTATACATGTATGATTATGCGCTACAGCATCACTTATCTGTGGTCTGTGTGCTCGTTTGTTACCATTATTACTTACAAAAAAACACTTCAATCTCACCCAATTTACATAGTAGAAATTACAGTATAGATTAGTAATTGATGAGAACAATAACACTCAATTACTATGTTTCTACAAGATTATACTAGAGTTAGATGCTGTTTCGTAGCTAGAACCAAAATAATATTACTTAGTTTTTCTCCATCATCATTATAGTCCATCACAAATCCATTGCTGAACATAGGCCTCCCCCAAGAAATGCCACAAAGCACGGTTCTGAGCCACTTGCATCCATCGACTTCCTGAATGTTTTACTAGGTCGTCACTGAATCTAGTGGGGGGGGGGGGGGGGTTTGCCCTACACATCGCCTACCGGTACGAGACTGCCACTCGAGAACCTTTCTTCCCCATCTATTGTTGGTCCTCCGAGTTCTTCGTATGTATGATATTATGTTGTGGCTATGAATAAACCGTTTCTTTCGTTGTTCTACAATTGATTACAGCAACTGATACAAACCCGCGCGGCACTGAGAAAGTGTCGTTACCAGAGAGAGCAGTGGATAAATGACTGGCCCGGACAATTGGGTATCACCAGTAGTAAGGTATGATTTAAGTTTGGTCTCACTTCATATGAATCACGAGCCCGTGGGTAGGATGCTCGACTTAAATATCAATTTATATAACAATTTATATTGTTATCGATAGGCAACCAAAAAAAAAAACACAGTTAGTGCTACCTTAGTGCTGCTTTAAGCTAAATCAGTCTGAATTTTTAAGATGAATTTTCCATCAACATTTGGTCGCTAGAGCTCTATCAGTAAACTAACAGAGGTATCATGTGCAGTTTAGACAAGCATTTAGAGAAGGGTACTGTTACCAACTATTCTTTTATTTAGAGGTAAACTTGAATAAATAATTATTAATTTAGTTATTTAAATAATTATTATATTTAGAGGTAAACTCGATTTTAAAGACGAACTTCGAAAGAGCAATGGCAGACTTTTAAACATAAAATTAGTTGAGAAGAAATGGTAGCGTCTACATATCAAAAATATCTTAAAATGTTAAGCGTCAGTCCCTTAATAACTCTGTCAAAGAATTTTGTACTAAGAAGGCGTCAAAGAAAAGGTTTTTACATGTGAACCTTTTTAGGTTATGTCCTATGTCACTTGGAAAAAAGTCATGCTTCCTGTGGTTGTTTGATGTTAGCTTAATACATAATACATAATTGAGAGATTTTAGATTATTGTATCTCCATTATATATTTGCATACTATAAATGTATATTTCTGGCATGGTTCCATGGCTTTTGTACCATAGTGACATTCTCAGAAGGACTAGAACCCAGAGCCGTAAAGCCAGTAAAAAAAACAGTGACATTTTATTTTAGCTAGTGTTGGCATAACATTGAGATAATGTATTATTGTAGGAAATTATTTGTAAGAGACTTATTCTCAGCCATATTACTTTTATTTTTGTTATTACTGATAGTACAGTTATTACCAATAATAACCTAATATAAAAATATTTTGTGTTGTGTTGGTATGGTAGTGTTACAAAGTGTATACGAAAATAGTAGGAATATACTAAATGGCAACATTTGAATAAAGTAAAATGATTTCAGTCATTTGATATTCCCAAAAATGTTTGTTTTTTTCTGTGGCTTTAATTAAAATACATTTTTATTTGAAAAATCATAGAAAAATAATAAAACTCATTTTATATATAACTTATTTCTAGACGCTATAATTTTTGTCAACTATTTTTCTGCCATTGCTCTTAGAGTTTATACCATATTTGTTACACAAATTGTGACAATGTATAGTTGGAGTTTAAGTTTGAGATTGTCTAGCTTTTAACTCAGTCCAGCGCTGGATAGTCAGTGCTGACTCGAAATTGAGCAAACTCCTTTTTTGAAGTCATCTAACCAGTTAGTAGTCAATAGCCAGTCACACAGGCCTTGTTTAAATACGGAAATCGCCTGTCAGGGCTTTTTTAAAATTATATATAACATATATATATAATTAACATAGGTATATAATTTATAATTGATATGTAATTTTAGGTACATAAATGATTTGCATGGATGGATGCAGGTGGCTCAGGACCGTGCTTTGTGGCATTCTTTGGGGGAGGCCTATGTTCAGCAGTGGACTTGTGAAGGGCTGTAATGATGAAAATGATGAAATGATTTGCGACTCCTAACTTAAAATATATTAAAAATTGTAAAGCAATGCTGATCTAAGTCAGGCACTGAAATTAAAGCCGGTTGATGGACGTTTAGTAGTGACTTAATGTCAGTCTTTACTGTCTTTACTGACTTAATGTCCTTGGGTTGGCCCTATTAAAGTGATCAACTGATCACAAGCTGTCGCTACTTTTATTACCGCTACGTGACTTGAATTTTTGTTTAATGTTAAAGATTCAATGGACCTCCGACTGCACTAGAACTCTATGTCGCTGCGAGATAATGAAGGAAAAGAAACCGTTGAAAAAGCTTCGCAAGAAGCAAAACCAGATCCTCGCTACGTTGCAGTCGATGTCCAGGAGGGATATCTCTAAAATACTCCGCTGCAAAGTGAACGCCTTGTGTGTAATCGAAATACATTCGAGGGATACTGTAGACAGGATGTACAAAATGGGTATGTTAAGAGATTTTAAATATGTTTTTTTATAGGATCGGGTGACAAACGAGCACACAGTCCACCTGATGGTAAGTGGTTGCTGTGACCCATAGACATCTACATTTATCCTCGTTTGTGAATGAAAATGCAGATGCGTTGTCACCCGTGAGGACTAAGATGGAATGCCTCTTTTCCAGTAAAAAGGGTCTCCGGTTCTCTACACTCACCATACGAAACACAGCAGTGTTAAACTGCTATTTTACGCTGGTATTCTGTGAGAGCGTGGTCCTTCCCCGGTCGAGCCGACCCATTCGTGCTACAACTATACTACTAATATAGCTGCAGCATGGCTCTACCACGTATAAAAGTATTTCATTTTAGATACCTAGATTGAAACAAAGTCCAGTACGGAGATATCTGCATTCATCAGCAATGCGACACACGCTCTACCATGTTATACTTGCAAAGACGGTACTAATTACATTGCGTATAAAGTTACGGCCAATTCTCCGTAACTTTAGTCGACTGCGAGCGGGCGATAAGACTAGTTCTTCGTTTTTTTTTTTTATATAGAGAGGTGGCAAACGAGCATGCGGCTCACCTGATGGTAAGTGACTACCGCCGCCCATGAACAACCGCAACACCAGGGGAATTGCAGATGCGTTGCCGGCCTTTTAGAAAGGTGTAAGCTCTTTTCTTGAAGGTTCCTAAGTCGTATCAGTCCGGAAAATTCGCTGGTGGTAATTGATTCCACAAGGAAGTTGTGCGAGGGAGAAAACTTCTTCTAAATCGCACAGTGGTGGACCACCAATCATCCAGATGGTATGGATGGTAACGCGAGTTTTGTCGCGATGTGCGGTGGTGAAATTGAGCGGCTGGAATTAGTCCGAACAATTCATCAGAGCACTCCCCGTGATAGATGCGATAAAATACGCAAAGAGATGCAACATCTCTACGCAGTGCCAGTGTATCGAGCCGATCAGAAAGAACTCGTTCGTCGACGATTCGAACCGCTCTGCGCTGGATGCGATCAAGTGGAAGGAGCTGGCACTGGGGTGCCCGGCCCAGAGATGAGAACAGTATTCCATGTGGGGCCGAACATGCGCTTTGTAAAGTTGCAAGCGATGTGCCGGCATGAAATACTGTCTCGCTCTGCTGAGCACGCCAAGCTTTTTAGAGGCCAATTTGGCCTTCCCTTCCAAGTGACCACGAAACTGCACACTATTCGATATGTCGACGCCAAGGATTCCGATACTAGCTGAGGCAGCAAGGGGAGTGCCTTGAAACTGAGGAGATACGACAAAGGGGTTCTTTTTAACGGTAAACGTGCAAACTTTTGTCTTCTGGGGATTGAATTGGACTAGATTTAGTCGGCCCCAATCCGAGACATTGTTAAGCAAAGACTCGACTTTAGACACAAGTTTGTCCCGGTACTCAGCGACGTTTTCCCGAGAAATATTGGCACGGCCGGTATATAAGGCATCACCAGTGCTGTCGTCTGCATAGCAATGAATGCTACCAGTTAGCAACATATCATTGATATGCAGGAGAAACAGCGTTGGTGATAGCACGCAGCCTTGTGGAACACCAGCGTTGATAGGCTTGAAATCAGAGCATGCACCGTCTACTACGACCTTGATGCTCCGATCAGCAAGGAAACTGGTGATACATTTGCACAATTTCTCGGGAAGCCCATAGGAAGGAAGCTTCGAAAGAAGCGCTTTGTGCCAGACCCGATCGAAGGCTTTCGCTATGTCCAAACTAACGGCCAATGCCGGGATGGCGATTCTTTTCGAAAAAGATCGATTTTTAAATCGATTCGAATCGTGACCTAATGAATAGATTCACAAAAAAATCGAGGTCTATAAGATCGATTTCCGAAAAATCGATCTTTTTTTCAAGTTTTCGTTTATAATGTAATATTTTATTAAAAACAAGGTACATATTATAATTTAACGATCTCTTATCAGTAAAATCAGGTAATTCGATAATAAAAAATATTTTCATTACCATGTCAAACTAACAGATAAAGTATAAAATAAGACATTTATTTTCTACATTTAGAAATTTTACAGAGTTAAGAAAATACATGCATACTTCCTTAAGGAATTCCATATATGACTTACTTATTAGTTATTTCAATGCCCAATATTGATTATTCGTATCTAAACGTAAATGAATTACATACATGGTTAGATTTAATGATCACAACTAATAGATTAAACTGAAAATAATAGCACGAAAGTAAAAAACAAAATAAAGCGCTTTACTTACCTACTTAGTCTTAATTAGTTATTATTCCTGTATATAACTACTGTCTGTTTGTGTACCTTATTCAATAAAATAAAAAAAATAAAAAATTCCGCAACAAACACTACATAACTTACTAACCTACTACAAAACCACACTTCTGTAATATTCATAGATATGAGTAAAGCCTTTGATTTCGTTTCACACAAACTTCTACTAAACAAACTCGACAACTTAGGCATTCGCGGACCGGCATTAAATTGGATAGAATCATATCTTAAAGATCGAAAACAAAGTGTTGAAATTTCAAGGTTAAGTTATTATAAAGAACTTGAGCATTATAAATCACCGTACCTAATTAATGGCTATGGCGTGCCACAGGGCAGTGTACTTGGTCCACTTTTGTTTTTATTTTATATTAATGATATCTCTTATGTAACGAATAATTTATTGACTTTATTTGCAGACGATATTGCTATGCTAATGACATGTAACAAAAAATCAGACATTGGTAAATTTGTAAATGACATTAATATTTCTTTGAAATTTATAATTGAATGGTTAGAATATAATAATTTACATATAAATATAAGCAAAACCAAGTTAATACAATTTATTAATAAAAAAAATAATGAAACAAAGCTAAATATTGTATACAATGGCGAACAAATAAAACAAGTAGAAGAAATTTGCTTTCTCGGTATACATATGGATACATTTTGTAACTGGAAAACCCACATAGAAAAAATATGTAATAAACTTAACCGCTTTGTTTACATATTACGGAACCTTACAAAGACGGCATCGCAATCAACAGCTCTTATGGCGTATTACGGATACGTTTATTGTATACTTAGCTACGGTATAATAATATGGGGAAATTCTGTAGACATCAATAAAGTTTTCATTGCGCAAAAAAAATGTCTACGTGCAATATATAATATGGCCCCACATGAATCGTGCAAACCAATATTTATAAATTTAAAAGTGTTAACACTTCCTTGCATATACATCCTTGAAACAGCAAAATTTCTGAAAAATAATTCTGAGCTGTTTACAACTGCTGGAGATATTATCAAGTCCAAACCCTTAAGGAATCCAGATAAATTAGTCATTGATAAAATACCAAAAACAGTAAATTATCATAGAAATTGCTATGCAATGTGCATAAAAGTGTTTAACGCAATACCCAATAATATAAAATTACTACCAAGGAAGTGTTTCGGGAACGAGTTGAAAAAGTGGCTAGTTAATAAATCTTTTTATTCGGTTAGCGAGTTGTTGGAAAAACAATAATTATCTTTATTTTTTTTAATAATAATATTTTGGTAATTACATATTATAATGTGACATGAAATTATAAATATTAATGATATGATAATGCAAATAGTAGTAAATGTTTTTTTTTTTAATTAGTTCACATTAATTTTTTTGTTTTTGCTATTTATTATGCAATGTACGTATTTTTTTTAATTTTAATTCGTAATGTCATACTTAATGTTTATAAAATTCAATAATTTTGTACACCAGAAATGGTTAATGTGTTGTACTATATTTTCTATAACAACTGTAAAACACACACATTATGCAAAATAAATAAATAAATAAATAAATAAATAAATAAATAAATAAATAAATAAAAATTAGTATAACCTGTCGGAAATATCTGCGAACCTGGCTTGATGACGTCATGCAATATGGAGAGATGGCAACGGTACTGGATAGACGATAACGGGCGGAAATATCTGCGAACCTGGCTTGATGACGTCATGCAATATGGAGAGATGGCAACGGTACTGGATAGACGATAACGGGCGGAGGTGCGGGGAAGCGCGAGGGGAAGCGCATTCCAGCGAGGTTCGCAGATATTTCCGACAGGTTATATTTATATCGCTTTACGAGAATCACTCAATCAATCAACAATAAACAAATGAAATAAATACCAAAAATAAATTATGGCTGGCATGACGCAAAAAGTCAAAGAGTCAAAGACTACAAACGTAACTTTTTTTATTCAAGAGATGCGAAGGAATCTAAACATACAGCCATCTCGCGAGTTTTTGAATAATTAATTCTTTAACCGGCAGCACTCTTATAATACGGATACCTTCAATTAATTGTAAATAGTTTTATGGTTTATACCAAAAAAATCGAATGTCGATTTTCAAGGGTGAAATATCGATTCACCGAATCGATTCAGTACTACATATCGATTTAATAAAATCGATCTTGTAGGTTCCAAAAATCGATTCTTCGATTAATCGATTTCAGATCGCCATCCCTAGACTCTACTGCCTCCGCCCATCTATGAGTCAGATAGACTAGAAGATCACCAGCTGATCGACCTCGACGAAAACCGTACTGGCGGTCACTAATCAGCTGGTGATCCTCAAGGTACCTCATGAGCTGGCAGTTTATAACGGATTCCATTATTTTGGAGAACAAGGGGGTGATGGCGATAGGCCCGTAGTTGGACGGGTCTGAGCGGTCGCCTGTTTTAGGGACCGGGTGGACAAAAGCTGTCTTTCATGATTTCAGGACTACGCCTAGGGAGTAGGAGTACCGGAAAAGACGCGTTAGGACCGGTGCCAACTGCGGAGCACACACGTCTTCGGCACAATGGGAGGGACTCCATCGGGCCCATTCGACTTGCTGACGTCCAGGGAGAAGAGTGCTTTGCGAACCGAGCGCTGTGTAAACCGCACATCCGGCATGGAGCACTCACATCGCGGGATGGTCGGCGGTGTGTTCCCCCCATCATCTAGAGTCGAGTTGGATGCAAAAAGAGAGCTCAACAGATCGGCTTTCTCCTTTGCGGCATGGGCCAGTGAGTCGTCCTCTCTGTGATCTCTGTGATCGCAGAGATGGAAGAGATGGCTGACAGAAGTTCCCTTGGACAGCCTTGGCGAGAGACCAGAATGCACGGGTTCCCGAAGGAAGGCGAACTAGCTTCTCGCCAATTCTGCCGATGTGCTCAGACCTTGCCTTGGCAATGACGCTTTTGAAGGACCTGGAGGCGGAGTTATACTTCTTTTTAAGTGCGCTGGTGTTTACATCCCGAGACGTTGATGCGTCAGCCCAGGCTCGGTAGCACTCCTGCTTATAGCGTGATGCTATTTTACAGGAGCGACCAAACCATGGCTGGGATCTGCCACCGATGTGCACCACAGAGGATGGAATAAAAAGTTCCATACCCTGAAGTACCACATCAGCAACAGAATCGGCAACAACGCTGGGATCTTCCGGCGAGAAGCAAACCCGTCCCCAAGGGTAGGATGCAAAAAAAGACCGCATCCCGTCCCAATCAGCTGACCTATAGTGCCAAAGACGGCGGCAAGCTGCAGATCGCAACTGCGATTGGAGCGTGAGTGGCACCGTACTCCGGATCAGACAATGGTCCGAAGAGCCCAGAGGGGCATCGACGGAGACCTGATATCCGTCCGGATGAGAGGTCAGCAGAAGGTCCAACAGGGAAGGTACATGGTATTCCACATCTGGGATCCGCGTAGGCGAAGTAACCAGTTGTGTTAGACCATATGCCAAAGCAAAGTCATAGACAGATGTACCCGCATGATCGGTTAAACGAGAACCAAGCCATTCAGCGTGGTGGGCGTTCACCGAGTATCACCGAGTATCACGATCTCACGATGGGACCTGTTGTAGCACGGAGTCTGCAGCCATTTGGACGTGGTCGATGAGTCGGTCTGTGTCGGCATTACCGCTATGGGACCTATAGAGGCACCCGTAGACGCGGGGATGGTCGTCGCTGTCTACGCGCAGCCATAGGATGGACAGGTCCGTACCTTCAAGACTGCAGAGGAGTCGAAAACAGATGTCCTTTCTGACGTATACGCAAACTCCAGCCCGGGGCACAAAGGAGTGTTCCAATTTGTACCCCGGGTAGGAGAGATATGAAGTATCGGCCGGAGAGGACACCTGAGTCTCGGTTAAAAAGAGCAAGGCCGGCTTCGCCGTCTCTAGATGGTAATGGACAGCGTTAAGGTTGGAATGAAGTCCCCTGATGTTGCAAAAATTCACGGATAGCGTGACAGGGGCCGCCTTGGTTGTATTGCTCCGCTTGACCCGAGCAGCATTAGTCGCGAACGGAATTTTGCCCCCCCCCCCCCCCCCCCCCGCAGAATACGCTGGGCAGCCTGAGCACCCACGCTTAGGAGTGAAGTAGTTTGGTCGTGGATGCTCAGCGAGGGATTCTCCAGGGGAGCTGGTACCCTCCTAGGGTATTCTTTTATTTAATTCCACTACCATGTTGTTGGGGGGGGGGGGGGGGGGGGGATTGGGCCTCCGGCCACCTGCACTCACCAAGCGCAACGCAGAGGTAAACCTCTACTTCACGCTGGTATTCTGTGAGGTCGTGGTACCACCCCGGTTCGAGCTGGCCCATCCGTGCGACAGCAAAAGCTACCGCTTAGCTCTATAAACTGTTTGTAAACCGTGAACGTTGTTTTTGACAATCTAACACTGACTTTGTCACGGTGACTAAGAAAACTGTCATTATTTATGTGCGTACCATAGAATTATATGCGTACTTTGTCAACGTAATTTGAAATTTATTTCAGACTAGCTGTTACCCGCGACTTCGCCCGCGTGTGATTTAGGGTTTTCATTATTTTGCTCGGAACCCTAATTCTTTTTCTAAAATAAAAGTAGCCTAAGTTACTCCTTCTAACATCAGCTGTAAGTGAATGTCCCGTCAAAATTGTTCCAGGCATTTCGGAGATTAGCCGGTTCAAACAGACAGACAGACTGACAGATAGACAGCCAGTCAAAAATCTAAATGTGTTTTTGTTATAACCATATATATACTTTTATATGCATTTAGTAAAAAGCTGTTATTTTGACATTACAAACAGACCCTTCAATTTTATTTATTTGTATATATAAGTAGTTAACTTTACTTCGTATTTGCCTAAAACAATGACTGTCGTAAATGAAAATACAACTGCGTGGCATGTTTACCATGCCAGCTACCCGCCCAGCAACAGCTTTGACATAGATTTTGTTCTGAATTGCCGGTCCTGTAACATACATAGAAGTCTTAATATACATGTGTATTTTGTGTATACAATAAAAATACAAACATTTAATATATATTTTTCATTCCACTATGGGTAATATTTAGGGTTCCCAACCCTCCCGGCTAGCCCGGGAAACTCTGGAAATAATGGTTAATCTCCCGACCTCCCGGGGTGTAATAATTTCTCCGGGTTTTCTGAAAATTATACGCATCCGTTGCTCGCGTGTCGTGTCTCTACTCACTCGCTTTGCGGTCACACACAACACTGCGAGCCGTTGTCGGTGTAAATCTGTTCGTCTCGCCGTGTGTCTCTGTCACGCACACCACATGCGCCTCATGTGTGAGAGACAAACACGACAGAATACGGTACTTCTTCTACAAATATTAGATGCTGCTCGAAAGCAAAGTAAATATAAATTTCAAAATTAATAAATGATTTCTTCGGTTGTTATTCGATCAGTCTTTGTACAATTGTGGCATTGTTACAGCGCCATCAAAAACGTCGTAATATCCGTCGTATTTAGTAAAGTTACATCCTTTACACGTCCCACTTCTGAGAGTGTTTTGGGCAGGAAGTATCCACCGCATTGCCCCAATTCATGCTGCCGAACAGAAACAGGAACAGATTCAAATGTTTTTTTTTTAATTTCTCAGATATGCAGTTTCCATCACGATGTTTTCCCTCACCACCGAGTACGTGATAAATTATAACTTTCCACCATCCGTTATATTTACTAGTTTTTGTATTCGCTTACATTTTCCAGGGTGCATGTCAGTGACAGCATTCGAATGGTTCTCGCAGCTGAAGTTCTACTGGGACCGCGAGCGCGAGGACTGCTATATCCGACAGACCAACACCAGCTTCGTGTATACGTACGAATACATCGGGAACTCGGGCCGGCTGGTCATCACTCCCCTTACGGACAGGTGACTCTTAAAGACAAGCATGTGTTGTCGGTGTATAATTAAACGAATTATACATTTAGCGGGTGTGCTGGCTGTTGTCGGATGACCGTTGGTTATGAAAGTGGATAAGCATCCAGAGTAAGAGTAAGAGTGAAGGGAGGCCTAACAAAAGATGGATGGACTATTTTAGGGATGAATTGCGTAAGTAAGGAGTGAGTGAAGAGATGATGGCTAGTAAAGGAGAATGGAAGAGGAAGACATGCTATGCCGACTTTGAATAACGTGGTATAAAGGCAGAAAGAAGAAGAAGCTAACTTTTATCAAACTAATAATATTAAAAAAAAAACTTATTATAAAGTGGTGCTCATGCTGCAGTTATGTTATGGTTGTAGCACGAATGGGTCGTCTCGACCGGGAAAGGACTACGATATCACAGAATATCAGTGTAAAATAGTAGCTAAACACTGTTGCGTTTCGTATAGTCAGTGTAGAGAATCGGAGAACATTTTTACTGGAAACGAGGCATTCTTTCTTTGTCCTCAAGGGTGACAACGTACTTGCATTTTGATTCTTAATCGAGGATAGACGTGGATAGATGCCTATGGACCACTGCATCCACTTACCATCAGGTGGACTGTGTGCTCGTTTGTCATTCATGTTGTATATAAAACAAATCTTTTATGTCTGTGTTATTGAAATATATCTTTATCTTCTTCTTTTTCAGCCTGTCTACTCTTGGAAATGGTCTTCTCGTTGTTGGGAGAATTTGACTTAAGTTCTTTCTTTAAAAATTTTAACTTTGAGTTAGATATCTCGTACCTTAAACGTTACATATCGTCACTGGTCTGAGTATTAAGTATTTTGCAGGCGGCTCAGGACCATGCTTTGGGGCATTTATTGGGGGTGGATTATATTTATCTTTGGACTTGTGAAGGGCTGTAATAATGATGTTGATTATAAAATCATACGATATACGTCCCGATACATCGGGATGATTTACTACATCAAACGTCATATGGTCTTTGTTCCATAGGCGCTTCTCACGACACCCACTTGACGTGCGGTGGTGATGGATGATAAAAGGTTGTGTTCCATTCTTTATCTAATCAATCAATGAGCTATAATAGAGAATTCTTAAAGGCTGCTCTGAACACAGGTGTTACATTACCCTGACGACCGCACTGCACCTCTTCCGTGGCGGCAGTCCCCAAGGGCCGGCCGGTACGGGCAAGACTGAGACCACGAAGGACCTGGGCCGCGCTATGGCGCGCTGGGTTGTGGTCACCAACTGTTCCGATGGCCTTGACTATAAGTCCATGGCTAAGTGCTTCGCTGGTAAGTCTCGTTTATGCTTCTAAGATTTCGGCTTAGATAGTGTTGCCCAAATGCGAGAACAAGACGAGACTTAGCAAGTCTTGGTCTTGGCCTTGCGCCAATACACCTGGTCTTGATCTTGGTCTTGGTATTGCGCTCCCAGTCTTGGTCTTGGTATTGCGCTCCCAGTCTTGGTCTTGGTCTTGCAGCAAGAGTCTCGCAAGTCTCGCAATTACCTATTAGCCTATTGATATTTATTAAACTTTAGATCTTAGAACAACTTAACAGAGTAGATACATAATGAGCTTGAATTAACATAGCCATAGTAAAGACCAACCAAATTAATAAATGTCTAAACATTTAATGAGAAATTCGAAAAATCAATTGACACCGGTGGGGAATAGCTCGAAGAACCGACAACCGATGGGGAAGAAAGGTTCTCGAGTGGCAGCCTCGTACCGGTAGGCGAAGTGTAGGGCGTCCCCCCACGAGATGAAGTGACGACCTGGTAAGACATGCAGGAAGTCGATGGATGCAGGTGGCTCAGGACCGTGCTTTGTGGCATTCTTTGGGGGAGGCCTATGTTCAGCAGTGGACTTGTGAAGGGCTGTAATGATGATGATGATGATTTTCAGATAAGAATATGCTACTAATTTATACGTATTTTTTTCTACCTTCTTCAAAAAGGACGAGATACTCAATTCGACTGTATGTTTTTTTTAATGTGTGTTACCTTATAACTTTTTTCTGGGTGAACGGATTTTGATAATTCTTTTTTATTTGAAAGCTGGTGCTTTTCATGTGGTCCCATATAATTGATCAAGGTCTGACCAGTAGTTTTTGAGTTATACCAGTTATACTTAATAATTTATATTGAAGTCGGTTGTACAAAATTTTTCATTTTACCACTTGTTATAGGTATCGCTCAAAGTGGTTGCTGGGGCTGTTTCGACGAGTTCAACAGAATCAACATCGAAGTGCTGTCAGTGGTTGCACAGCAGATCCTCGCGGTGCTGCAAGCTTTGTCTCTTCAGTTGAAGAAGTTCAACTTCGAGGGTTGCGAGGTCAAGTTGGACAGTAACTGCGGTATCTTCATCACTATGAACCCCGGGTAAGATATTTTACTATTGGAAACAATTGACTGATGGTGTTTGCGGTAAATATTTTTAACAGATTACCAATTATCATCACGTAGATTTGCTCTTTGGTCCAGTGGTCGTAAACGTGATTGTTGATGATGAGGTCCCTTGTTAGAATCACAACGTAACAATAACAAAACACGACCAGAGAGAGATCAGGTGCAAGACCAACGGCTTTACTTGAGCAAAGAAGTGAATAACTGACACACATATATTAAATAACCGTTTCCGTCCGTCTATTAAACATCCGTTGGACGGTCGTATCGACTGGCGATATGGGGAAAGCCGAACCGGTTGCTCCCACGCAGCCGAGAGCTTTCGAAAATCGCCGAATGGTCGAACAGGTATGGCCGTGCTGCCACACATGCTTTCCGAGGTGCGGTGTTAACCACGGCCAACTTCCTGACTCTGGACTGCTACTTGGAATTCCTTAACAGAACTTAACGAGCACAGGATCTCGAGATCAGTAGTCGGGCTTACTAACTATTATATGATATTCCTATTAGGACTAACGAGGCAGATACTACGACTTATATTTTTTTGCTAATTACACAATTTTTTTTGCTAACGCATGACACGTAAACTTCAATCTCCGTGATTTTTTTGCTAACGCATGAAATGTAAATTTTGATCTCCGTGTTTTTTTTGCTAACGCATGACACGTAAACTTTAATCTCCGTGATTTTTTTGCTAACGCATGACACGTAAACTTCAATCTCCGTGATTTTATTCCTTACATCGGTTAAAATGTGAAGTTTTTCAAGTTTCAAGTCAAGACCGCTATTTATCGGACGCCACAAGATCTTCTGAAATGATCTTTAGAAAGAGATAGCTTGATTGTTTCTCTTTGCCTCGTTTCCCAAGTTCATTAATATTTATCAAACAATTTTAGGTACGCTGGACGTACAGAGCTACCGGACAATTTGAAATCAATGTTCCGGCCGATTGCGATGTGTGTTCCAGACTCGCTAATTATAGCGGAGAACACCTTGTTCTCTGATGGATTCACTGCTTACAAGATCAATGCCAAGAAGGTGAGGAGTGCTCTGAAGTAGAAGTAGATACATAAACCTTGGTTAGATACATAGGCCATTAGCTGGACTACACAGCTCGAAGAACCGACAACTGATGGGGAAGAAACGTTCTCTAGTGGAGACCTCGTACTGGTAAGCGAGGTGTAGGGCGGGCCCCTACTAGATGGAGTGATAACCTGATAAGGGATGAAGTGCTTTGACCGTGCTTTGAGGCATTCTTTGGGGGAGGAGATGTATATTCCGCAGTGGACTTGTGAAGGGCTGTAATGACGATGATGATGATGATGATCAAATATCATAAAAGATGTGTCTGTGAAAGTGAAATATCACTCTGGGACCATAATATGAGAATAATGGAGTCCATCACACTTACAGTGCGGATGCGAACTTGGCATATGGCTTCGAAGTCAAAGTCAAATTGATGTACATTTCATTTCGAAGAAGTCTTGCAGAGGTATACTTACGATTGGATTTGATTAATGTGGGCATCGCACGACTTTTTCTACCACCAGGGCGGCGCCACTAGAAAGTGAGGTATAATATTTGACAGATTTCATAGTGGGGAAGTTAATTTGTTCAGAAAATGTAAAAGTTATTGTTTCTTTTTGTACTATTAGCTATATTTTATATTAATAAAATTAAAAATGAATAAACCAAACCAACATAATATATACAACATAAAAGTAGAAAAATTAAAAAAAAAGTTAAAATGTGCAAAAAATTATAGAGCAAACCACTGACGCTTTGTTTTGTGTATTAATATAATAAAACCAACTTCTCAATTAAATTACATTGTGTAACAAAAAACTTTACCTCAGTGTCAACTAGCGACATCTGGTGAGCAGTAGCCCTCATTATTAGATCCCTAGCAGAGCCTTTCTATTGAAATTTGATATATGTGCTAAAGCACGCTCGATTTTGTGAATTTCAAGAACTATAATTGTATCGATGTTTGTAGGTATTCACGCTGTATCAGCTGGCCACGCAACAGTTATCGAAGCAGGATCACTACGACTTTGGGCTCAGGTCTATGGTGGCCCTCCTGCGTTACGCTGGAGTCAAGAGGCGCGCTTACCCAAATCTGCCTGAACAAGAGGTAACTGTTACTAACTTCTCTTCAGTAGACGCTTACTTTATGAGTTTAAGAAAAAACTTAGGAATGAGGATATTCGCAGTAGAACCAGAATAACCGACATAGCCCAACGAATTAGTAAGCTGAAGTGGCAGTGGGCCGGCCATATAGCTCGAAGAACCGACAACCGATGGCGAAGAAAGGTTCTCGAGTGGCAGCCTCGTACCGGTAGGCGAAGTGTAGGGCGTCCCCCCACGAGATGGAGTGACGACCTGGTAAGACATGCAGGAAGTCGATGGATGCAGGTGGCTCAGGACCGTGCTTTGTGGCATTCTTTGGGGGAGGCCTATGTTCAGCAGTGGACTTGTGAAGGGCTGTAATGATGATGATGAATGATATACGAATTGATCAAGCTTAGAAATCAGTGTACATACATATTGATAACCTTTCTTTTTGGGAGTTAGTTAAAATAAGCTATGTTTGGGTCTAACGTAACATCTGGTTAATGTTTGGGTGTAAAGTGACATCTGGTTAGTAAAGGCATTAATAATCTCTTGATGTTGTAAATAAAAAAGTTTTTATTCTATACTCTAAAACTTAGCCTTAGTCAATAAACAAAGCAATTAAAATAAAATAGTGGCGTTAAAATGGCGTCGACGAATCGCGATTAGCTGATCACTCCGTATTAGTTTTAAATAGGCACCCATTGTTAATATAATGTTAACACTTAGAGAAGTAGGTATCTATATATAAACATTTGAGTTTTACACAGAGCGTTGCGATTAAACGTTTTAAACACAAATAGAAAATAAATGTTTTTAAAAGAAAATTGTGATTTTTTTCCCCACAACTAGCAACATTTGTATTATGAGAGTTTATGTAAGTATTTTTTTAGTTTTACGTACTTATAATGAATTAAATGTATAAACTTATATGTGAAATGTAATACCATCACTTCTTTTATGTTTATCATCACCGTTGTGACAATATTTTACAACACAAACGGTAATTTTTACAATTCTTCGCGAGCTCTTCTCCGTAAGACGTGGTGTTGCGCACTGACGCGTCGGTGAGTCAACTAACGCGGTTTCGCGTTAGTTTTACTTGCTTCACTTACGGTGCGCGTACTAGTATTCTATGCGTAATAATTCTATGATGTAGAGTGTAGACGGTCTTGAGAGCTATAAGCAAGCGAAATGGAATAATATCCATCTCCTTCGCACTTTTTCTTAGCGTGGCATGAAAGAAATAATAATAATAAAGATTTTTATTTGTCTCAATTCACACATGGTTGTTAAAATTGTACAAAAAAGATTACAATATCATTTTAAATGACGCGTCGTTTTAATAGACGCTAGTAATTTTATTTATATGTATTGCATTTATTTGATATATATAATATAATACGTTTATTTCTAATAATATACTACGAAAGGAACTTCCTTCCAACCGAGTGTTCCACGACACTCACGCATGTTTTTTTTTTAAAGAAATACCTATACCTAAATGACGCCACATCCAAGTCAATAATTCTGTACATGTTTTTGATGAGAAAATGAATATATATTCTATCTTATTCCATTTTATTATATCCCATCCAGGCAAAGTTATGTCGGTAGTAATAAACAAATATGTTCTGATCTCCATAGATAGTGATTCTTGCCATGCGCGACATGAACGTCGCCCGATTGACCGCCAAGGATGTTCCTCTGTTCGGTGGCATCATGCAGGATATATTTCCCGAGGTAGAGATCCCCACCCTGGACTACGAGATGTTGGAAACGGCGATCTCTGCCGAGATGAAAATTGTCGGTTTGCAACCTGTTAAAGCTGCGCTTTTGAAGGTTATACAGACGTTTGAAACGAAGGTAATTATTTACCTATTAATTAATACAATGAATAAAAAAAAAGTATGAATATTTCATAAGATTGTTCCTTAGTATACCGTGTAGCGGCGGTGTAAGTATATTCAGTACCCCATATCGTGCCATGGGTGTCAAATGGTGTCAAAGCAGGATATGGGCAGCAGCGTTTCCCTAATAAAAACTAAAAAATAATAAACTGCGGTTGCCAACCCGTAACAATCATAGCATAAATCCCCCATAGATTATCTCATAAATTTTCTAGGTTGTGCGACTCCTGCTTTACTTAGGAGTCCAACCGGATAGGTCAGCCCACCCTCTTACCTCCAAGTCCAATGGGTATAGAGTGCCATATAATTACAGAGGCATTCCTTCTTGGCCCTCAGAGGTGATTACGCATTAGTAACCATCTTGTGACTCACCACCTCTTACCAGAATGTATGTGGACAGAATGCGATCAAAATGTTTTTTTTTCAAATAAAAAACAATGGCTTTGAATGGTAGTGTAATGAAACTAAACTATAATAACGTGTAGAGGCGGTTAAGAATATCCACTACCCTATATCTTCCCGTGGGTGTCGTAAGAGGCGACAGTGGGAAACAGGCAGAAGATGGGAAAACTGCGGTTGCCAACCCGCTCGCCAAGCGTGGCAACTATGGCTAATATCCCTCCATGATGAAAGTTACGAAGAGACGGCCCCCAATCCCCGGCGACCCCGCTATTCCTGGCTACGGTGGCGACCATGGTAATGACGGGGCAGGTGGTGCTAAGAATCTCCGGTGAAGGTTCGGTTGCCATCTAAGACGACTCGACCTGGCAACATATAACACACGCACCCTGGGGACTGACTAGAAGATCCTGGAGCTGGATGAAAAATAGTCTAGATACGCTGGCATATAATAGGATTATCCGAAGGTCCGAAGGGAGGGGGAGGACACGGTAATCCTCAAATCCGGCAACTTGTTCTATCATCGGGAGGGCGGCCATCTGTCCCAAAGAGGTGTCGGATTTATCATCCACAAGTCTCTCGTTAACAACGTTGTAAAGATTGTGAGTGTGTCGACGAGGGTTGCGTATACTCAGAATCACCAAACGGTATTCGTTGAAGTTTACGCACCAACCTCGGCACATCCCGATGAGGAGATGGAGGAAATGTACGAGTATATCTCTAAAGCCATGCATTCCTCCAAAACTCACTATACGGTGTTAATGGGAGACTTCAATGCAAAACTAGGCACAAGAGAGAACGGTGAGCTGAAAGTAAGGAAATTTGGAATTGGGCAACGGAACCCAAGGAGCCAACAGCTGGCCGACTTCATGGAGAAAGAAGGACTCTTTATGATGAACTCTTTCTTCCAGAAGCGGCCCCACAGAAAGTGGACCTGGTCGAGCCCCGACGGTTCCACAAAAAATGAGATTGACTTCATTATGAAGACCAGACGACAACTGTTCAGTGATATCTCAGTTGCTAGGTTGCAAACTGGTAGCGATCACCGAATGGTTAGAGGCACACTGAACCTAAACGTTAAGTTGGAGAGGTCTCGTCTAACGAAGTCAACGCTCCGTCCCCCTCGTGCTCTAGTCCAAAGTCCCGAGACCTTTCAGCTCGAATTACAAAACCGTTTTCAGTGCTTAAAAGATGCAATCTAGTGGAAGATATGAATAATAAGCTCGTGGTAACCATGCTGTCGGAGATAAGTTCTGCAAGACCCACCGCAGAAGAACACAAAACTCTCCGATCACACTCTTAATCTCAGAGCTGTTAGATGGAAAATGAAGCAGCAGTCTTCAACAGATTTGACAGCATACAGACAAATGAACAGACAGATCTCCAAATGCATGCGGAGGGACTTACGTAACTTCAATACAGCTTGTATCGAAGAAGCGATCGAGTCTTATCCCACACTATTCCGAAGATATCCCGGACGTCAGTCTGAGCGAGATTAGAATGACTCTCTAGCACCTTAAAAACGGCAAGGCCCCAGGTGAGGATGGAATTACAACGGAACAACTTCTGAAAGCGGGTGGAAAACCGGTACTTGAGATCCTTCAGAAGCATGAAGAGCTTCGTCCTCTGTTTTGAGACTAGTCTTCAAGAAGTTTTGACGAAGGGGTCTTGTTACTCAAGAAAGGCGACAACGTTCTCCTGAAGAATTACAGACCGATTTCCCCTCTGAGCCGCGTCTACGTGCTGTTTTCGAGAGTCATTACGAATCGTCTCGCACGCAGACTCGACGACTTCCAGCCTCCCGAACAAGCTGGATTCCGAAAAGGCTTAAGTACCATAGACCACATACACACCCTTCGGCAAACTGTACAGAAGACAGAAGAGTACAATCTGCCACTTTGCCTTGCGTATGTGGACTATGAGAAAGCCTTTGATTCCGTCGAAATTTGGGCGGTGCTGTACTCTCTTCAGTGGTGCCAAGTTGACTATCGGTATATCGAAGTGCTCAAGTGTTTGTACAGTAGAGCTACGATGGCTATCCGAGTACAGAACCAGAGTACGAAACCTATCCAACTGCAGAGAGGTGTAAGATAGGGTGACATTATATCCCCGAAACTCTTCACCGCTGCATTGGAAGACGTTTTCAAGCTTCTGGACTGGAAAGGATGCGGTATTAAAATCAATGGCGAGTACATCACTCACCTTCGATTTGCCGACGATATAGTTCTTATGGCAGAATCGCTGGAGGACCTAAGCACTATGCTTAATGATCTCAATAGTGTCTCCCAACGGATAGGTCTTAAGATGAACATGGACAAAACAAAACTCTTGTTTAACGTCCATGTCACACCTATGCCGGTAGTTGTTGGAAGCACTAAGCTCAAAGTTTTTGACGAATATGTTTACCTGGGACAAATAGTCTGACTAGGTAAGTCCAACTTTGACCGAGAGGTCAATCGAGGGATACAACTCGGCTGGGCAGCGTTCGGGAGATTACGACACATCTTCTCGTTAGACATACCTCAAAACTAGATTGTTCAACCAGCGTGTTGCCAGTGATGACCTATGGAACTGAAACGTGGTCCTTCACTGCTGGCCGTATGAGGAAGCTCAAGGTCGCTCAGCGAGCTATGGACAGGGTTATGCTAGGCGTTTCTCTGCGTGATAGACTGAAAAACGAGGATATCCGCAGTAGAACCAGAGTAACCGATATAGCCCAACAGATTGGTAAGCTGAAGTGGCAATGGGCGGGCCATATAGCTCGAAGAACTGACAACCGATGGGGAAAAAAGGTTCTCGAGTGGCAGCCTCGTGTAGAGCCATGTATGCAGGTGTCTCAGGACCGTGCTTTGTGGCATTCCTTGGGGGAGGCTTATGTGCAGCAGTGGCCTTATGAAGGGCTGTAATGATGATGATGATGATGATATTTTTTTGTAATGAATGTTGATATAGTTTTAATAACTGTGGTGGAGAGAAATTGTTGATGCGTTGCTGACCTTTTAAAGAGAGTGGGCTCTTTTCTTGAAGGATCCTAAGTGGTATCGGTCCAAAAGGAAGTTGTGCGAGAAAGAAAAATCTTGTAAATCGCACAGTGGTGCAGTAAATCACCGATGTAAAGTGGTTTGGATACCTTTTAGTTTGTAGTAGAAAATTAAACTTTGGCTTTTTAAAAGTCGGACACATTACAACTTTCAAATGGGCAGTTAAAAATTGTTAAATTACGAACGAAATCTACATTTACGAATATTTCAGAATTCCCGCCATTCGAGCATCCTCCTCGGTGACACGAACACTGCCAAGTCGGTGTCCTGGAAGATGCTCGCTGCGACAATTAGCCGTCTGCATCGGGAAAAAGTCCCCGGCTTCGAAAACGTCCAGGTCTACCCCATGAACCCTAAGGCATTGACCCTTGGGGAGTTATATGGAGAGTATAACTTGTCCACGGGGGAGTGGAAAGATGGCGTGCTTTCGGCAATCATGAGGAGTGTTTGTCAAGGTAAGGAAGGCATAGAGAAAAGTTTAGTTGACACCAGCTCAAAGTTCAAAGCGTCTTAAAACTTAGTTGATTTTCAATTTTAAGTTTTTTTTCTATAGTATCAGTTTGCTGTGGTCGTAGCTCGATTAACAATCAAAATGCAGATCTGTTGTCGCCTCTGAGCAATGAGATAAAATGCCTCGTTTCATCGTTAAATCCTAGGTCCCTTATTATTAATGTAGTTTGGTTTAATTTAAAATATAAAAATATAGATATTTAGATGCTAATAACTTATCGCACGAAATATTTTATAAATGAAACCTAGTTTTTCATTGCATTTACAATTTCCCAAAAATAATGAACATTGGTCTATGTTTACGGGGGAAAAACGTTATCGCTTTTTGAATCAAAATGTACAGCTTCACAATCTTCTTAAACAAAATATTATATTGCTTCATAGACGAGTCTCCAGATCAAAAGTGGATTATTTTCGACGGTCCCGTTGACGCCATCTGGATCGAGAACCTCAACTCCGTGATGGACGACAATAAGTTGTTAACGCTCGTCAACAGTGAGAGGATATCTATGCCGTCTCAAGTATGTCTTTTTGTTTCATTAAAATCATCCTTACCTTTTTACTTTACATCATCATCATCATTATCATGATTGGCCCGTATTAGTCTACTGCTGAATATGGGCTTCTACCGTTGTAAGTTGTTCTACCGTTGGAAAAATTGGCATAATTAGCGGAGTACTTTTATCTGTCGGCATATTATGTATGTTGTAGAACGAAGTTAAGTTTTATCCACTCCCCCCCCGGTTGAGCGTCTGTGTACTATACTATACTATGCGTCCAAAAAACACGGTATAAAGAACAAAGTTTATCTTCATAAAATTGTCTTGATGATGAAGTAACTTTCGTTCGTAAGGATAAATAGGCCATGCCTAATAAAAACGCTTATAAATCACTTTTTAATTTTCAATATTTTTTTGTCACAAAATACCTAATTATGGCTTATGTATAAGAAATAGACATGTGGTATCGCGAACTTTTTTTTAGACGGAGTAAAGATCTATATTTTTCTAGAACATTGTATAACGTATCCCTAACCATAACACCAGCGTACGCCGATAAATCATTTCGGGAGTGCTTTTACTTCTGACTTGCTTAACAAATATCCATATTTAAGGCTAGCTGAGTGATATAGCTTAATGCTAGATAGCCTAACTATTCCACATGAATCTGGCTATAATAAAGAAAAAGAATTTTTCAAATCGGACTGGTAGTTCCAGAGATTAGCGCGTTTAAACAAACAAAAAAACAAACAAACTCTTCCGCTTTATTATATTATATTAGTATAGATTTCGTCTCGTGGGTCTAGCACAAGTCGACATTTGGATATAATAATTAAAAATTAAAAATTTGTACAGCCGACTTCAATATAAGTTATTAAGAATAACTCAAAAACTATTGGTCTGACCTTAATCAAACCATATGGGACCACACGAGAAGTACCAGCTTTCAAATAAAAAAAGAATCATCCAAATCGGTTCACTCAGTAAAAAGTTATGAGGTAACACACAAAAAATAATTTTAATTATACCACATAAAAATTAATTAAATAATTATTTTTTATAGTGGTAGAGCCACGCGGCAGCTTTTGCTGTCGCACGGATGGGCCGGCTCGAACCGGGGTGGTACCACGACCTCACAGAAATCCACCGTGAAGTAGAGGTTTACCTCTGCGTTTCGCTTGGTGAGTACAGGTGGCCGGAGGCCCTTTTTACTGGAAATGAAGTATTCCATCTTAGTCCTCACGGGTCACAACGCATCTACGTTTTGATTTGTAATAGAGGATAGATGTAGATGTCTATGGGCCGCAGCAACCACTTACCATGGTGGACTGTGTGCTCGTTTGTCACCCTTATCCTATAAAAAAAAACATACAGTCGAATTGAGTACCGTCTCCTTTCTGGAAGAAGGCAGAAAAGAAATTTAATTTTTAAATAACTGATTTTTCATCGACGTCAATACAACGAGGAGGCTCTATATCTGTGTGTTATTTTTTGTATTCAGGTTGCGCGATATCTTTGTGAATTTTGAAACGATTATTATTAATTAAATAAGTTATACTCCAGGGAAGTTCCCATATGAATTTGCAGTAAAACTTGTCTAAAAGGGTGGGAAAATAGAGTTAGTAATATTTAGCAAGTTTTTAATGTCATAATTTTTACAATATTCTATGTAGTTATTACCTTGAGCTTACTATATTGATAAGTCCACAGAAAGAGGTCAAAAGCTTAAAACTTAATTAAAAGTAAATTTATTAAAGTGGCAACACTAAGTTGTCTATGAATTATAAATTGGAGTTTTGGCGGGAAATTGACCGGCGGCGGTTTGCTGCTCCTGTATTATTGTTTAAATAATGGTTTGAAGTGGACTTTGATATGTAAAAGTGTTGCGATTTTGTGTATTAAGTGTCTACGCATGTGAACTATTAGTGGAAACAGTGAAACAATTGCTCTGATGGTGATGGATTCTCAAGATAAGCTGTTTGTTTGCATAGGCACCTTTAGATACCATCGCCAACTATCAGCTGTCTGCTGGATCAAGTTGCCGCCAAAATCTCCCAAGAACTGCACAATGTGACGCATCAACATATTGTGAAGCAGTATACTATGAAGGAGTGGGGAAATTACCATAAACCGAATAAAAATACTTAAGACTTGGCCTAAAGGTCTAGATACCAGGCCATAAACTCCAAAAAAAAAAAGAATTATAAATTGAAAATATGAAAAGTTTTCCACTTTCCACATTTATTTCAAGATGGCGTTATTTCTATCTTTTAAACTACGCAACGGATATGATGCGGTTTTTATAAATAGAGGGAATGATTCAAGAGAAAGGTTTATATGTATAATGCATGCATATTATACATTATAAAAGCTGTTCCCTGCGACTTCGCCCGCGTGGAATTTATTGCGATTGAATTTCAAGGGTTTTAATTTTTTTACGCGGTACCCTAATTCTTTTCCTAAAATAAGAGTAGCCTAAGTTAATCCTTATAACATCAGCTATTTGCCAGTGAAAGTTCCCTCCAAATCGGTTCACAGGTTTTTGCGTGATGCGTGTTCAGACAGATGTCGTGTTAGTTTTATTATAGTATAAAAGATAAATAGATATAGATAGATTTATTAGTATAGATTGATAACTCTTCTGTCAGTGTGGATGAAACCGATTTGGATGAAATTTTGTGTGTGTGTGTGTTTTTTTTTATAGGAGAGGGGGCAAACGAGCATGCGGCTCACCTGATGGTAAGTGACTACCGCCGGCCATGAACAACTGCAACATCAGGGGAATCGCAGATGCGTTGCCGGCCTTTAATGTGTGCGATTAAGTTGATTAGAGAATAGTTTAAATTCACAATTGGACCCGTTAGGTGGCGTTGTTGTTGAGACCCAGTAATCAACCGTGCGAAGCCGGGGCGGATCGCTAGTTTTTATTAAAGACTAGCTGTTCACCGCGACTTCGCCCGCGTGTTATTTGTGGTTTTAATTTTTTTGCGCGTATCCCTAATTCTTTCTCTAAAATAAAAGTAGCCTAAGTTACTTCTCGTCACATCAGCTATCTGCCAGTTAAAATCCCGTCAAAATTGCCCAGCCGTTTCGGAGATTAGCCGGAACAAACAGACAGACAGACGGACAGACAGACAGACAGACAGACAGACAGACAAAAACTTTAAAAATTGTATTTTTGTTATTAGTACCGTATATACTTTCATATGCATTTAGTAAAAAGCTGTAATTTTGACATTACAAACAGACACTTCTATATATATATTAAATGTATAGATATTAAATGCCTAGATCGGACGGGGAACAGCGTCAAACCTGTGGGACGTTTGTCAATTCACCTCTCGGGCGTGACAATTATGATAAATATCCCCCCTAGGTGACATTCAATGAGGGGGGGGGGGCTAAGTTTAGCATTGGACTTTGATAGATTGACAATTGCCAAACTGCCTAAATTAACAGAGTATTTATTTGTACTTTTTCATTAAATACAGGGTATTTTTGGAACGCTCCCGAAAACTAAGACAGGCGACAGCACCAAGTATACCTTTGATCATGGGTCATAAATAAATTCGATCCTGATGAAAAAAAAATCATTTTTTTACAACGTTTTATTAGCTTTATTCACGCGCCATCATGTCAGTACAGCTAAATGAAACGATAATTTCATAAAAAATATCATGAAAATACTGAAACATAAAACGAGCAGTGGAATGACTGAATTGATATCACCTCACTAAAGGTCAATGTACGCGCGAACGCAAATTCGCGCGGCCCGCAATTTGCGGGCCATACCACAATAACTAATAATTTACAACACTTGTCTAAATACCTAACTTATCTACTTAACCTACTATTTCGCCACTGTTCTTGTCTCCACGTAGCCACTTTAATCCAAATTTACAGGTTAAATAACCCAAATAACTTCGATTCCCCGCTAATGAAAAAATACTTAAATGAAATGTAACCAAGGTTGGAGTCATGCGTTTTTATTCATCGTGTAGGTATGTTTATTATTCTCATGTATTCAGTTATGTACCTATTCAGATTAGTCCAGTACTAAGTTATTTAAAAAAAAATAGTTATGAAACAGCTTACCGCTCTAAATCCTCCGTGGTCTTATGAGATGCGGCTCAAGTTGAGCTCCATTCATTTCAAGGTAGATTTGGGTGCAGGCGGGGCATCATCGTGTGGTCTTCGACACAGTCCGTACGTAGTTTCTCGAAAGCATCCACGATCCTTTGGCGCATTTCGTCAGCACTATCACACTCACGATTAAAAACCCTTTCTTTCACATACCCCACAAAAAGAAGTCTAACGGGGTCAGATCTGGTGAGCGAGGTAGCCAAGCGTGTGGTCCTAGTCTGCCGATCCAGCGATCAGCTCATTGAGGCGCTCACGGACGAACCTCACGACATGTGGAGGGGCACCGTCATGCTGGAACCATGTGCGGCGATATTCAGCCAACGATAGGTCGTCTAAAATGTCAACCAACTGTTCATTTAAAAAGTTTAGGTATCGCTATCTGTTCAGTAGCTGTGGCAGAAACACTGGTCCCAGTATGCGATCCTTAAATAAACCTGCCCATACGTTAACCGACCATCGGGTTTGGTGCCCGGTTTGTCGAACAGCGTGCGGGTTAACCTCTGAATACACGTGTGTATTTCTTCGGTTCCACAGGCCGTTTCTGGTAAATGTCGACTCATCTGTCCAGATAATGTACTCAATGGAACCAGGCACACGTTGTTTCTGGTATAATAACCAACGGCAGAAAACTCGTCGGCGGTCGTGATCGCCGGGAACTAAAGCTTGCACTTTGTGCAATTTGTATGGGCGCATTCGGTTACGCTTCAACACTTTGTGCACTGCACAGTATGACACACTTATTACATCCCGACGTCTTAACAATTTATTTAGCGATACTTCGTGTACCTAGGTTCGGATACCTAACATGTTGCCGTATTCACAATCACTATAAACGTACGCGTTAAGCATTATTAAAACAAAAAACGTAACAACAAGAATAATACCAACACGTAATCACAAGTAATAACAATTTAATAAACAATACGATTGAGCTGTCGTTCGCGCACGCGTGTACAAAATCAACACGGAACTGTTTCAAAAACTACAATTAATAACGAACCCCAACAAAACTGAAACCTACTGCGTCACAGCGTGAGGCGACACGAGCCGGCCGGGTTACATTCTGCCGTCATAATAAAGAAGGACGCAACTAACAAAAACGTAAAATGGAAATAAAAAATAAATTGATGAATTTTTCTTTCAGACCCTGTGTCTAAAGTATATTAAAAGGTATCTATATGAAAATTGAAATATACACGTAGAGACATGAAGATTTTAAGGACGAACTTATTTTTTTGATAATTTGTTTATTTATTTAAATAAAACGAATTTTCCTTTTCATCTTAGCTTAAAAAATACACCTGGCAACACAAAAACATCGAAGGAAAGACGCATATAACTATTTGCGTCTTTCCAACCTAATATATAAAAAAAACTGCCATTCATTTAACATTTTTACATATTTTGGAAAGGTCATTTGAAGTTGAAAGGACGCTAATGGTAATTTATTACCTACTTTTTTCTTAGTAAATATTAGAAAAGCATTGGTAGTGAGACACAAAAAATAACAACCCGCAACTCTTGAGTAATGATTTTAAAGGGGATATCATACAAGACTTACTACGATAATAATTAAAAATTAAAAATTTTGTACTACCGACTTTAATATAAATAATTAAGGATAACTCAAAAACTATTGGTCTGACCTCGATCAAATTTATATGGGACCACATGTGAAACACCAGCTCTTAACAATAAGATATAAGCTCTTAATAATAAGATATAGAATAATAAGACAAGATTAATTGAAATTTAAGTAATCGATGCAAATAATGTTAAAGATGACGTAGCAACTGGTTAAATAAGTCTTTTCTTTTATGTTGAATTTGTATAAGTCTTTTCTACTAAAAAAAGTCATCTGTGATCAACAGTTACGTCTAAAATTCTTACGATAATTTCTAAAATATTGATATTTGTGAATATTAAAAAAATTTAGTAGATGCGCCTTCTTATCATGAATCGAATGGTATATTTAACTCATTTATTCAAAAATTGTTAGATGCGCCCTTTTTTCTTAAGACCGCAGCATTGTTTCGTACCGAGCTAGATACAGGTCGACAGAGGAGGGAGTGTGGGTACAGTCGCGTTCTAAAGTACTACATGGTATTGGGCTATTGTTTTATAATATTATAGTAATTAATTGTTTTAATGTAGAATCATAATAGGTGTTTTACTAGCTACTTAGAACTTTGGAAGAGGTGGGAATTAAAAATGGATAATGTTTACTTGAGCATTATTTGTTATTTCTGTCGTAAAATATAAAGTAGTTCGTAACAAGAAAACTTAAGCTAAGGGTGACACGCCGTCCATTATGACGTCTTGGGTCACATGGAAGCCAGATGTTGATGGTGTGTTGGAGTTACTGGATGCTACTTCATCATCACTTTCATCTTCACTTGAGCTTCCGTCATCAGGTCGATCACATGGTAATATTTTCGGTATTCTTCCTCAACACTTTTAACTTTACTGCACAATTTTCCCCATTCACCTTCTCCTATCATATTTACCTTTTCGTTCACTAGTTTAGTCATAAAACAATAGATATAAATAATTTTTCTTTCCTTCCTTTTTAAAACATCGTCGCGAGTCGCAAAGTAAGCTGTGTATGCGACTGTATTTTTGGAGCGAACAAAACGCGGGAACCAATAGCATGCAGGCACAGTAATACTGGCGGATTGTTCCCCCGTCGCGCCCCCTTCGTACCAATATGTGATAAATCGCTCAGTGCCCAAGTTCAAGGCCAGTGTTCTTTTTTCACCGTTCGCACAGTAAATATATAGTAGGAACAGTACGGAAACTTCCTACAAACGCTCGAAACGGCACACTCACACAAACATGCGCAACGAGACTTCTTAGCGCTCGTCGCGGTGCTCTCAGTAGCGAGTGTCGCCTCAAGACTAAATATGCCACGAACGTATTGCGTAGTATACGGATGTTTGAACTCGGCTTCATCAAAACCGGAGCTATCTTATTTTAAGCTTCCTGCTGATTTTGAAAGGTAAGAATGATTTTTATTGTCATTATTATAATCGTTATCAAATTATAAGTTCGTGTGATCGATCATAATGAATTCGTGAACTTGTTTGTACATCCAGAATGCGGCGTTTTTGAGGCTATTTAAAGCTGATAGTGTAATAGTGGTAACAAAAAGTAAATCCAAGATGGCGGCTACAATAGGTATTCTTTTTTTCGTCATGGGTGTCATTTTCATGGTTTTCGAGGGTGTTGAAGCCGATAGTACTGTTGAAATGTAAATCCAAGATGGCGGCTGCAATAGGTATCAATTTTTTCGTCATGGGTGTCATTTTCATGGTTTTCGAGGGTGATGAAGCCGATAGTACTGTTGAAATGTAAATCCAAGATGGCGGCTGCAATAGGTATCAATTTCTTCGTCATGGGTGTCATTTTCATAGTTTTTGAGTATGTTGAAGCCGATAGTACTGTCGAAATGTAAATCCAAGATGGCGGCTGCAATAGGTATCAATTTTTTCGTCATGGATGTCATTTTCATAGTTTTCGAGGGTGTTGAAGCCGATAGTACTGTTGAAATGTAAATCCAAGATGGCGGCTGCAATAGGTATCATTTTTTTCGTCATGGGTGTCATTTTCATAGTTTTTGAGTATGTTGAAGCCGATAGTGCTGTTGAAATGTAAATCCAAGATGGCGGCTGCAATAGGTATCAATTTTTTCGTCATTGGTGTCATTTTCATAGTTTTTGAGTATGTTGAAGCCGATAGTGCTGTTGAAATGTAAATCCAATATGGCGGCTGCAATAGGTATCATTTTTTTCGTCATGGGTGTCATTTTCATAGTTTTTGAGTATGTTGAAGCCGATAGTGCTGTTGAAATGTAAATCCAAGATGGCGGCTGCAATAGGTATCAATTTTTTCGTCATTGGTGTCATTTTCATAGTTTTTGAGTATGTTGAAGCCGATAGTGCTGTTGAAATGTAAATCCAATATGGCGGCTGCAATAGGTATCAATTTTTTTGTCATGGGTGTCATTTTCATGGTTTTCGAGGGTGTTGAAGCCGATAGTACTGTTGAAATGTAAATCCAAGATGGCGGCTGCAATAGGTATCAATTTTTTCGTCATGGGTGTCATTTTCATAGTTTTTGAGTATGTTGAAGCCGATAGTGCTGTTGAAATGTAAATCCAAGATGGCGGCTGCAATAGGTATCAATTTTTACGTCATGGGTGTCATTTTCATAGTTTTTGAGTATGTTGAAGCCGATAGTGCTGTTGAAATGTAAATCCAAGATGGCGGCTGCAATAGGTATCAATTTTTTCGTCATGGGTGTCATTTTCATAGTTTTTGAGTATGTTGAAGCCGATAGTGCTGTTGAAATGTAAATCCGCGATGACGGCTGCAATAGGTATTAATTTTTTCGTCATAGGTGTCATTTTCATGGTTTTTGAGAGTGTTGAAACCGATTTTTCGTTGTTGCTGTAAAAAAGAACACATAAACTGCAAAGTAGCTGATCTAATTTACAAGAAAATAAACAAAATCGGTTTCATAATACCCGTTCCTTGTTTCCCAACAGTTTAAAAAAAACCTGTTCATTAGAATGATATTTTTTTACACAGTTAAATTCAATAATAAAGAATTCCGAACTTGCCGTAGCAGACGAAAATATTTTTCTGTAAATAATTTACAATAATCTATACAAATGAATAAAATTGAAGTGTCTGTTTGTAATGTCAAAATAACAGCTTTTTTACTAAATGCATATGAAAGTAAATACAGTACTTATAACTAAATACCAATTTTTAAAAGTTTTGTCTGTCTGTCCGTCTGTTTGTTCCGGCTAATCTCCGAAACGGCTGGATCGATTTTGACGGCACTTTCACTGGCAGATATTTGATGTCATAACGAGTAACTTAGAGTACTTTTATTTTAGAAAAAGAATTAGGGTTCCGCGCTAAAAAATAAAAACCCTAACACGCCAGCGAAGTCGCAGGGAACAACTAGTGAAGAATAAAGTTACGTTTTCGTCCAACTGCGGCTCGCGTACGTTCCCGCCGAAACTTGTAAAAGGTTAAGCCATAATGACAAAGTTAAAGTTCTACAAGTTATTGTGTGTTAATATTAAATTGTTTTCCTTGTTTAAACTATCGTTTTTTGCTGAGATTACCTATTTAAATTGTATTTGTAAGCTAGTTATTTAAATTCGATTGATTGATCACTACAGAACAAAAATATAAAAAAAGCAATATCAAACATTAAAAGTTACAACCCTATTGCTTCAATGGAGCGTAGGTAATTATATCCTCAACTAGGGTTAGTTTCAGTTTCCATACTGTTCATATTTATACTGTCCCGTTCGCGCGTACATTAACCTCCATTAGTCAGGTGATATCAATTCAGTCATTCCACTGCTCGTTTTATGTTTCAGTATTTTCATGATATTTTTTATGAAATTATCGTTTCATTTAGCTGTACTGACATGATGGCGCGTGAATAAAGCCAATAAAACGTTGTAAAATACGATTTTTTTTCATCAGGATCGAATTTATTTGTGACCCATGATCAAAGGTATACTTGGTGCTGTCGCCTGTCTTAGTTTTCGGGAGCGTTCCAAAAATACCCTGTATATCATCATTCCGTTGTCCAGGTATCTCTGCTGATAGAAACTTTGGACCTGGCGGTGGCGTCCCCGGCGACGGTGTCGCGCAACGGCATGGTTTACAACGATTACCGCGACTGGGGCTGGTGGCCCTACGTCAATTCTTGGTTGGACACCGTTGATGATGTGGAGTACCGGGATACGGTAACTTAACATATAACGATTCTTTATATTAATGGTTATAGTGGCGGCTTAGTAGTAGTTAGTTATAGATTTAGTAAATGTAAAGTGAAACATTTATGTTAGGACTTAAATTTTCAACTTTAAATTAAAAATCTAAACAGACCGATACGACTTAGGGACCTTCTAGAAAAGAGCCTACTCCTTTTTAAAAGGCCGACAACGCGCCTGCAATTCCCCTGGTTCCCCTGGTGTTGCGGTTGTTCGTTGGCGGCGATAGTCACTTACCATCAGGTGAGCCGCATGCTCGTTTGCCCCCTCTTCTATATATAAAAAAAAAGGAACTGCTATTTGATGGCAGAAATAGATAAGACTTACTGGTAGTACTAACTTGGTATTTGCGTTTACAACCAAACACCACAGTATAGCTAATATGTACGTTTTAATTAAATGTAGTTACTAATTCTCCTAAAAAAAAAGGTAACTTGATGGTTCCTAAGTAGGTATCAAGAATTTTTAAGACTCAACTTTCGTAATCATTAAAAAAATAGTATTTAATCAGCTACTTTAGCTAAAATAGGCCATCAAATACAACAAGGTGATAAATTCTTAAAATTAGCCATCTGATTACAAATATTTTTTGACCATTTTATCATTACTTAGGTTAATTAGTCTGTTAACTAACCAAAAATGAAATGAAATGACTGCAAGAAAGCTAAGAAATAAGCATTTGGAGTTTTTTTATGTTTAATTTAAGTTTAATTACTCGTAATTTTGCGCGATTCGTTCTTGCGAGGGGATAAGAAACCGGGCTATTTCTATTTTTCTCACTCTCGTTGGTGAGAGAGGCGCAACCAAAGCTTCATTTGTTCATTGCTCATGCCGTTTGTTAACTAATCAAAAATGACCGTAAAAAAACTATGATTTAAACATTTGGATGTTAAAATGACTGCAGGAAAGTTAAGACTTAATTAATCTTTGTAAGTTTTATTAATTATTATTTTAGTACAAAAAGTTTTCTTTTAGTTTTATGAACGCTATTCTGTTATTTTTTTTTATTGTTTCTTCTGCTTGTTTCAATTTTGATCGTAATTCAGCTGGGTTACTAATTTGTTTGAAGTAAACCAATTCTTTATAATATCCCCAGACGCAGAAATCGATTGTGTTCAAGTCGGGGACCGTGGCGGCCATGCAATGGGCCCTCCACGGCCGATCCATCTGTTTCTAAATGTTTCATTTAAATGTTGTCTGACAATTCTCGCAAAGTGGCATGGAGCGTCGTCGTTTTGGAAAATCACTTTCCTACGCGTTTACAGGTCTACATTTATTAGTAAGCCGTTGAGATCATGTCTTAAAAATTCCAAGTAGCCCTCACTGTTTAGGTCAGGTAGTTGGATCGGACCAATCAGCTGTCCGTTTAAGATGCCTGACCAGTAAGTTAAAAGTTACAGCCTATATACGTCCTACTGATGAGCACAGGCCTCCCCTCATTTCTGAGAGGGTTGTTTTTAGGGTAAGGAAATGTCCGCCGCTCTGCCCCAATGCGTGTTGGCGAACTTCACATGCCTTCGAGTTTTGTTTCTTATTTCTCAGACATGCAGGTTTCCTTACGATGTTTTCCTTCAATGCGGTGCACGTGGTGAATCCGCAATTAAAATTGCAATTAACAATTTCATTGGTGCCTTCGGGGATCAAACCTGGGTTGATCTCGTACTGAGAAATTTACAGCGAGTGCTAACCGTCTGAGCTACCACGGCTCACCAGACGAGTAAGTAGTTCACGCTAAATTGCTCTTGAAAATTGGAATGATGTGTCAGTGTGTAGTGTAGTTGTACCACTTCTAGACCACCTGAGTCAGACGTGGTTCAACGACGTTCGTCGACGCCCGATCCTAAAAAAAAAAAAAAAAAAAAAAAAAAAAGGTTTTGGCATGCTCTGATCACGAATCCGCGGTCCATTTTTGTGTAGAATGCACGGTTCCGGAGATGTGTAGATCAATTAGCTAATATCTAATTGATATCCGGTAAGGGCCTCCACCGTCATTAGCGTCCCATTGTTCCTATTTCTATTGTTCTATTGTTCATTAATCACCCTCATTGCAGCGTGTGCGTCGACTATATCAGTGCTATTGTTTATTATAATTCTTTGTTTATACAACGCTAATCTGAATCATCAATAAAACACATTACATAATTTTGTTACAATTTTTATTTATAAAATACAAAATCTTATTAATTATTATCTATAAAATAGGAGCGAAACATCTCATCCACTAAAATATCGTTGTACAATGTGTTCCTTGTAAATATACTCGTAAAACTATGTATTGAACATCCTTGAAACTTATATAGTAAATACATTAAGCAATATTCGCCACAAACTGAAGTCCACTCATTCTGAATCCTATCAACATTCCAGTTCCATCTTTTACAATTCCTTTTTAAAAACTCTAGATGATATCGTACAGGTGATCGTCCATATGAATCAAAATATTGACCGACGTCATTCGTATCGATATATAAAGCTACCCAATGTGACCCTGGTTTATCATCTGTATCCAAATTACATATTATATACGTTGGTACGTGGGTATACATAGGCAGTCTATTAGCTGCATAAACATTATTTTCTAGACTGGGGTGAATCTTTTTCAGATGTTGTTGTACATCTAGTGTATCCATGATATTACTGCTATTAGTAGATTATTACAGTACCTAGCTACTCAATGAATAACATAGGAATGGTCAATTATAGTGATTTCTACATATTAAATTGCATTTTTGTGATATACAAATCGTACTTGAGTCATTGATCACCAAACAAAACACAATACGAAGAAATGTTGAGATAGGCAACGGAAATGTGAGATAAACTGATATGTTTCTAAATATTAAATTGCATTTTTGTGTTATACAAATCGTACTTGAGTCATTGATCACCAAACAAAACACAATACGAAGAAATGTTGAGATCGGCAACGGAAATGTGAGATAAACTGGTTGACGCATAAAGTAATTATCAACTCATTACGGAAATACTTTAGATTAGAATTTTTACGTACTGGTGGTATATAAGACCAACAAACGCAGTCATCGAGTTAGTGTACGGTCGTTTGGCTACAGTGGATCTATCAATAGTACATTTGTGTTACTTCAATACACCAAAGGCTATGGATGTAAGTGTTTATTCTATTGACTAAATTACTTTTTTTCTGTTATTTTCATGTGTGTGTGTGTTATTTTATTTAAATATTGTGTATGTATATGATTAAGCCGTGGTAACTCAGATGGTTAGCGCTAGCTGTAAATTTCACAGTACGCGACCCGGGTTCGATCCCCGCCAGCACCAATTAAATTGTTAATAGCAATTTTAAGTGCTTATTACCACGTGCTTGGTGGTGAAGGAAAACATCGTGAGGAAACCTGCATGTCTGAGAAAATTTCGAAGGCATGTGAAGTTCACCAACACACATTGAGGGAGCGCGGCGGACATTTCCTTGCTCTAAAACCCTCTCAGAAATGAGAGGAGGCCTATGTTCAGCAGTGGACTTTAATAGGCTGTAACTTTAACTTTTTTAACTTTTATGATTAAGTGTTAACAAATTGATATTAACATGATAACTGTGTTGTTGCAGAAATCATTGAGCTTCGATGAAGATACCTATAAACAGTATTACTACTCGCCACTCTCCCCTCAAGAAGAGAGTGATAACCTCGTCATTAATAATAACACATGCGATGGTGGAAAAAGAAAATCGCAATCGATTGATCATTTTTTTGAAGCTGAATCAAAAATAAAAAAGAGGAAGGGAAAACTTCAGTGAAGTGTGCACCAGTGCTTTTTTCTCCACAATCATAGAAGAGAATACGGAACTATTCAGTAGCGAATTAAATCAGGAGTTGTCTAAAGTTTGTGAAGAAATGGAGAGGGGTCAACTGTTCGATTCGTCATACGATGATGAGTTGTATCATCACTGTGCGATGGTTGAAACACAGTTTAAGTATGTAAAATAAACATTCATTTCGATCATAATTTACATATTGTCTTATACAGTTTTTAATAAATTTAAACATTTTAGCAGTCAACCACTACAACTTGGAAGAGGAACGAAGCGAACGTGCAGCAAAGAATCCAAGATCATCAAAAAACCAACAACGGAAGCAGAAGCGCATACCTCTGCAGGGAACAGTATCAGTAACGATGATCAAGTGGAATGTCCAACGTGCCATATATTTATCAAGAAACGGTATTTAGCTAATCATTTTAAAAGTAATGTTCATAAAAATAATCTTTTAAATTCACATAATTCTTTATCAAACGTTAGTGTTATTGAATCTGCTTTTGGAAATAGGATTTTAACTTATAAAATCAAGAGTAGAGTAGATCGTTCGACATGGGTAAATTTTGAAACTCCTGAACTATTTTTAAATTCTATTAAAGATGATATTTTATTTTTATTACAAGAGTGTATTCATCAACACATAATTTTTAAGGTAAACTTCATATTGCATGCTGATTTTGTTCAACAAACTAAAGATATTCGTGATACGTTCGATTTTCAAACGCTTAACTATATTATTTGTCAAGGAGATGACTTAAATATTTTTCTTTCATCTTTAAATGATACAATTACTACTAAAATTAGTGCTTTCGAAAAAAAAGATAGTGGATGGAGTCTAAAAAACATAAAATCTATAGACATGAATGTTAATAAATTTAACCCCCTACGCGGTACTTCATACATAGATCTTCCTCGTGACATAAAATTAAAAAAGGCTGTTATAAATGTAAAAAACAAGGATTATTTTTGTTTTAAATGGGCGTTACTCTCAGCGTTATATCCTGTAAACAAACACACCGATCGGGTATCATCGTACGTTAAACATGCAAATAAACTTAAATTTGATGGTATTTCCTTTCCGGTTAAAATTTCTGACATAGCAAAAGTAGAGAAATTAAATGATATTTTTATTAATGTTTTTGGGTTAGAATATAATAAAGAAAAACGATGTAATTCTATAGTA